GCCGCTTCGCTGACGTCTACCGCCCCATGGCCGCCCGCGCGGCTCCCTCCTGGGGCCGGGGCTCCACGAAGCGCCGACCCGACCCGCTCCTGAGGCAAAGCCCGGGCCCGGGGGCGGGGAGCCGAGCCCCACAGAAACCACCTCTGGCGCCTCGCCTGCTGCGCAGGCGTGCTGGGCCCCCGACCCCGCCCAGCGCCATGAGGGGAAGGCGGGGCTCTAGGAAGACACGACCACTTAGGGGCGGGGCTACCAGGGGGCGAGGCGGGAATCTCAGTCAGCAGAGGCCAGGCCACATAGATAGGGGATGGCTGTTACACCGAGGGGAGGTGTCTGGAGGTGGGGCGGGGCCAGTCAGGGAAAGGGGTGGAGCTATGAGTAGGCTGCCCCCTCCCCCCACCTCAGCTTTAGGGAGAGAGAGGATGTGAGAAGAACTTGACCTTCTGCTAGGGTTTCAGCTGCTTCCTATGGGGGAGTGACTCCTTCCCTCCCAGTTGGGACATGTTGGGAGCTGCTCCTTCTGATGGGGATGGAAGGGCTGAACCCACAGACCTGGTTGCTCCAGGGAGCAGGGGTGGCGAGGTGTAATGATGGGCCTTTTCGTCAGTGGACATGGGAGAGAATAGGCCTGGGGAGAGACATGCCCTTCATCCCTAGAAATAGGTCTCTTCTGGTTAGGACCAGGAGGGAGTGACTTGTGAACAACAGGACCAAATTATGCCCTCAGTAACTTCAGTGACTCACCAGACTCAGTCAGGATTCAGCTACTTGAGAGCAAGATCTGGCCACTCTGTCTCCAAGGCTGCCGCTTTGGCCTTAAATGTACTCAAAGGAAAATCAGAAGGACGTAGCAACACCCTCAGGTTGAACTCTCAAGACTTTGATCTGAAGCTGCATCTGATCTTTGACAGACGCGATTTCCTTAACAAAACAATTTGCAAAACACAACTGCTCACCTTCTGCCTCAGAACCTTGTCAGGCCGCAGTCTAGGACATAGTCTCCTGAATTCTAGTTTATTAAGAGCCATAAATACAATGGCTATGCTATTTTAGATATTTTACAGTTATTATATTGAAGAAATACTTGGCTCAGTTTTCTGATTCAGAGATTTAGACATAAGGACAAATGCTCTGCCTAGAGGGTCTCCATTATTCTTTTTGCCTTTTTACATCTAAGAGTCAAAGCTCTGCTGAGTACCAACATGATCAATGAACGTAGTTAAAAGCACATCTAAAATGTAAAAAATGTGTACTATATGCATGGGAGGAAGATGTGGTTTTGTGGAAAAGTAAAAAATAATTTAGACAATTGAAACTAGAGGGAAAATTTAAGTAGATACAGTACTATGTAACAACCTCATTTGGAATTTGGCGATTTCTGCATGAGTTGGCCTTTGTTTTCTGTAGTAACATGAAAAAAATTACAAATATCCAGATATTGAGTTAAATATTAATCCTATGAATACTGTAATATCATGGCTTGAATAGTTAGATTTCTTCATTTAAGTAACATAACAGAAATTTCAGGGAACTGGGTCTGTGCATGGCCACAGAGATAATAAAAAATAAAACACACATACACAAAAAACCCAAACCCTTCCTGACCTAAAGTAGGCAAAGTATCTGAAACTTATTTATGGGAAGAAAAACAAGTCATCCAGTAATTTAGTCTTCATAGGATCTTTGTTGAGAATATGTTCTGAATTCCTGACCAATAATTGTGAATATGTTCTTTTGATACATGCACTCTCTGATGACTTTACCAACAGCTGTGGAAGGCTTCAAGATAAGAGTGGTGATTAACCTTAAATATTGTGGTTAAACTGCTCCACTCTAACAGTTGCAGCTGATCCTGTTGCACCTGGTCACAGAGGCATGTCAGATAGGCTAGAAAAGAGAAAGAATTCTGTGTTTTCATTTACCTGTTACCGAGAGGTTAAATGTTGTCCTTCGAAATGTCTAGGAAACTTCCAAGGAAGGTAGTGGGAATCACATACATGCCTCTGTGAGCACAAATTGGCCCACAAGGCCCACTAAAGGCAAGTAAGTTGTGGAGCTATAAAATCCTTTGAGATGCTGTTTATGAAAAGCTCTATAGAAATGTCAATACAATGCAGGAAATGTTTTTGAAACAGCATAGGAACGTTCTGCTTTCACATCACATTTTTCCCTCTCCAGCTTGGGAAATGCTGGGTGAGGAACCACAATGATTTCACTAATGGCTTATAAGCATTTTACAAAAACCTTTCATCCTGTATACAAGGGGGAGGGACCACAAAGCAACAACAGTAATGACAAACACTCGTATTTTGATAATGCTTTAATGGGTAATGTTCTAGAACCCTGTCTCATCACGCTTGGAATACACATTGTAGTTTATAGGCCAGCAGCTCTGTGGTGTTCAAAGCAAACTCAGAGCTAGCACTTTTACTGTTGAAATACCCCTTTTCAGAGAGCAATCCTCATAAGTAGTTGGATTCATCTTGAAACTGATGCAAGTGTAACCAAACTTCAGACCTCTGCATCAGCCTCTTCAGCTTGAGCTAAAAGCCCATGGGCTCTCAGCTAAGGCTGCAGAGCAAACCCATTCTTCCTCTCTGTAAGTGGTCTAAGTGCCACTAACATGGGACAGTGAACTGCACCCAGTAGATGTGTGGGTTACATAGGCACCAGTCCAGGACAGAGGAGAGGTAGTTTACTCCTCTCTTCAGTGGCAGCAGAGGCTGGGATAATCCACAATGGCTATGTCTACACTGGCGGGTTGTTGCGCCAGAAATATGCAAATGAGGTTAAGCGTGGAATATCGCCGAGCCTCATTTGCATACCTAATGAGCCACCATTTTTGCAGAATAGGCTCTTGCGCCAGAAGGAGCATCTACACTGCCCCATCTTGTGCAAGAAAAACCCTCTTGTGCAATGCCGATTATTTTCAGGAATAACGGCATTGCTCAAGAGGGTTTTTCTTGCACAAGAAGGGGCAGTGTAGATGCTCCTTCTGGCGCAAGAGCCTATTCTGCAAAAATGGTGGCTCATTAGGTATGCAAATGAGGCTCGGCGATATTCCACGCTTAACCTCATTTGCATATTTCTGGCGCAACAACCCGCCAGTGTAGACATAGCCATTGTGGATTATCCCAGCGTTAAGGCAGCTTGCCTGGCTGAGCTAATTTGTGTCGCTGTTTCAATGGTCTCCTTAGACCAGATTTTTCAGGGGCACAGAATTCTTGGATGTTAATCCTCTGCCACATACTCCTGCACCCTGTCTGCTTCCTGGAGTCCATCCCTCCAAAGCACGTAATAGGGATGTTAAATAGGTTAATTGATTAGTAGATTAACCTCATGAATTCTTATCGGTTACTCAACTATTCTATAGGCAGCCAGTGTGCTCTAGCCCCACTCCAGAGGAGCCCTCTTCCACTCTGCACTGCTGCCTCTGTGTCAGAGGCAGCAGAGTGGGGTGGCAGGCAGGAACAGGTATGCTAAGGAAGCCTGTTTAAAAACCAACTTCCCTTGCAGACCAGCTGCCGGGGAGGGGTCTGAGCTCCCGGATCCGGCACGAGCCAGAACTGCCTGCCCACCTGGCTCCTAATAAACTTTAAATGCAGCGCCATAGCAGGGGTAGGTCCCAGACTTGTCGCAAGCCAGGACTGAGCCAGGCTGCTGGCCAGCCTGCTAAAAAATTTACTGGCAAGGGATGGGGCGGAAATGTGTGTAGTCTATAGCATTAACCGTTAAACTTTTGCTTATTGGTTAATCAGTTACACTATTCCATCCCTAGCATGTAATAGCAGCTTTCTGCATTTCTATAGAGAACATGGTCTGAAAGTGTGGACCAGGAGATGCTGATTTCTTACCTTGGTTTTTGATGTGGGATGTTGGGACATTTATGCCCTTTCCGTATTTCAGTTTTCCTCAGCTCTAAAGTGGGGATAATAATAGCAACCTCCCAGGGATGTTGTGAGGATTATTTGGTTAATGTCCAGTCCAGCATAAGTATTACTTGTTATTACAATACTTCCATTTTTCCCAGGATCCCAAATATTTCATAAGCATCAATTAAGCCTAACCACTCTCCTTGGGATGAAATAAGAATTGCCTCTATTTTACAGATAAGTAAACCAAGTCACTGCAACATAAGTTGCCTTGGGTCACAAAACATGACAGTTCCAATGCCAATTTCCTCCTCTAACCACTAGACTATACATCCTCTACAGCTTACCTGTGAAGGTCTGCTTCTTCCCTGTGCCCCTTTCTTGTGTGTTTATTTTTATCTCCATGTAATCCTCCCCAATTCATGAATCTCCTCGTGGGTGTTACACTCCATCATCTGTTCTGTGTCAGCTGCTATTGTGGGCCCCTGGTCAGCCTGAGAAAAGGGAAAAGGGAGTTTAAAGCCATATTTGTTCTCCTATGCCCTGTTTTTGTGCCAAGGATAGCACAGCTGCAATGATGCATTAAACCAGGGGTAGTCTATTTTTTGATCAAGGCCCACATTTCTTGCTCAAGGGATAGTCAAGGTCCAGACTCCAGATTTTTTTTTTAACAATTACAATAATTAATAAACAAATAAAAAGATTTTGGGGTTCATTCAAAAGCATCTGGCGATACAGATTTGTCCCACCGTCTGCCAATTGATCACCTCTGCCTGAAAGCCAGGAGGCACGGCAGTTGTGAATTGTAACCCTCCTATGCCTGGAGAGGCAGCATTGACAAATTTGTGTACGTTTCTTCTTACTCCCCATGAGATGCAGCTACTTAACGAGCTGCAGAAAGTTTTGCTGAAATGGGTTACAGCATCATCTTTATCTGCCATCCCTGGATTTGTTTACACTGCAGTAAAAAAGACCTGTGGCATGGCCGTGGCTGGTCTGGGTCAGCTGACTTGGGTTGCGAGACCAAAAACTGAAGTGTAGTCATTCTGGCTTAGGCCGTACCGTGGGCTCTGAAACTACATAAAAGAGGAAGGGTGTCAGTGCCTGGGTGCCAGCCAGAGGTCAAACATCTACATTGCTATTTTTAGCCCCACAATGCAAGCCTGAGTCAATTGAGCTGGACTGTCAGCCTTCATGCTGCAGGGGGTGGCTTGTTTTGTTTTGCAATGAGATGTACCCCAAGGGCCTGTTTTTTGCAGAGATTTTGCAAGCGCACTCTACAGTGGTTAAAGAGAGGAAGCTGCCAGGGTTTGGCTTGCATTAAGGTTCCTGGTCATTCTTTTTCATAACTGCACATATTTCCCCAGTGAAAGAATTGCTGAAAATTTCCTTCCTCTACCCCAGCGCAAGAGGCCTAAATTTCATCATAGTCTTTACCTTTTATGGCACAAATATTCTTTGTCAGAAGTTTCCTCCACTTCAGCCACTTTCTCCATCTGGCTTTGTCTACACCTGTGAGTTTATAGCGCATGCAATGTGGTTACAGCACCAGAGCTGGGAGAGAGCTCTCCCAGTGCTGTAGGTAAACTAGCTGCATGAGGGGAGTAGCTCACAGTGTTGAGAGTCTGTTTACACTGGCTGCTGTAACTTGCTGTGCTTGGGAGGATAGGTGGAGATTTAGACCTCTGAGTAAGAAAGTTACAGCGCAGTATCTTGCCAATGTAGACAAGCCCTGTACCTCCCTCCACAGAACTGGCTTCCAACTTGCAAGGCTATGCCTCACCTGGCCTGGAGCCTGTACAAGACACTGTTAGAGCCACAGCACCACCTAGGGGAGCATTGGAAAAGAAAAAAAATTCTCACCTACTTCTGGGGGCAGCTAGTGGAGCTCGGACAACAGGCAGCAAGGCCCACTGGAAAGGGGTATAACAATAGGTAGGATTTGCAGGGATCAAAAATGGATTTGGAGGGGTCCTGAGCAATGTTCCCTCTAATCTTTTTCATCCATGTGTGGAATAAATTTTGTATGTGCACTGAGGCATGTGTGAATGTGCCCCGTCAGTAAAAACAAAAAAACCCAGCTATGAGAGCTCTGCTAATCAGCTGGACAGCATTTGAATCTCTTCTGAGGGGTAACACAGGCACTCAGCTTACAGGGCACATAAGACTCCTTTGATCATCAGGTCAGATAGAAATGTTCAGAACATTTCTAATTGCTGAAAACTAAACACACTTGCCCTGTCCACCACTCACTTCTCCCCACCTCCATCGCTCACTCTCACGCCCCCTCCCCCTTTGCTCACTCCTCCCTCTCCTGGGACTCACATGCTGCCTACAGAGCCAGGCTGAGAGGAGCTGACGCAGAGTCTGCCTGCCTGCCCACCCAATCAGGACATAGCAGGGGTTTGTCAATCCCTGTAGTGAAGTACCAAGACTAGGGCAATTGGGGGTCAGTCCTCAGGGGAACAGGCCATAGTGGGGTGGTGTCAGTCCCTGTAGTAAGGAACCAGGGAAACATTGATCCCTGTAGTGAGAGGCTGGGGCAATTGGGGCTAGGGATGTGAAGGACTAGTTGACTAGTCAACTATTCGATAAGCAAATGCTTTTCAGATAGTTGACACACTAATCGACTAGTTGCTTCCACCCAGCCACCCCTTGCTGCCTCTATCAGAAAGAGGCAGCAAGTGGAGTGGAAAGAGAAGGAGGTGGTTCAAAGCAGCAGTGCCACATGGAGCCTGGGACAAGACCCTGGGCTCCACATGGCACTGCCACTTTGAAACGCCACATGCAGCTGGGCCATGCATTTCAAAGCGCCAGCACTGCATGGAGCCCGGGGTCTGCTGCTTTGAAAAGCCTGATACTGGGCTTCCAGTGGCTTTTCAAAGCAGCAGCACCGCATGGAGCCCGTGCTCAACGGGGGACTCAGAGTCCCCAGCTGACCTCAGGGTCCATGCGGCGCTGCCGCTTTGAAATGCTGCGGGGAGCACAGGGCCAGCGGGGGACACACTGGCCCCATGCTCCCCACAGTGCTTTTGCCTTTGAAGTTTAGCACCAGCCCTGGGGCTGTTGCTACACTTCAAAGCTGGAAGTGCCCTTATCGACTAATCGAATAGTTGACGCAACTTGCATTGACTATTCGATTAGCCAATTAATCTAAATTTAACATTCCTAATTGGGGCATGGTGGGGCAGAAGGAAGTATGGACAGGAATCCCCGCCCCCCCCCAAGCAGTAGCACCTACCTCTTGGAGCTCAGCCTGGCAGCCAGCCATTGTTCTTTATTGGGCATCAGTGGCTGAGCAGAGAGTAGCTCCTTCACTTGGCTCGAGCCACAGCTGTTGCTCTTCCCGCCAGCAGTGGCAGGGGCCTATTACTGCAGCCATTTGGACTTTTAGCATCAGGGTCAGAGGTGCTGGCAACTGTAGATCTGGAAAGCTGGCCCACAGTGTAAAAGTAGGGTGTTTTTGAAAGGGCATTTTGAGACTCCCTTTGACTTTTGCCAGCCAATCTCAGAGCATCACCATAGTTGGAAAAAGCCATTCACACATCCTTCTAACTCAGAGGTTCTCAGACTTCACTGCACCTGGACCCCCTTCTGACCACAAAAATTATAACAATCACGGGAGTGAGGGGGACCAAAGGTTGAGCCTGCCTGAGCATATGCCCCAGCAAGTTTAACCCCAGTCCTGGTGACTCCATTAAAATGGGATTGCAACCCACTTTAGGGTGCTGACCCACAGTTTGAGACCCCTTATAAAATCAGCTGGATAGCATGTGCAAGAGACAGCCATCGAAGGAATGGCAACATTAAAGAGTAAATTGGAAAGGGTGTCTCATTTGGGTGGATGTTGGCTAGACAATAAAACATTAAGGAAACACCAAGGTATCTGGTCAGTATTTTAAGGGTCTTGCTGAGTGAAGCTCTTAGTTGTCAGGTCACTGGTTCAGATAAACATACTTATCCAAAGTGTATCCGGCTTTATGCACAGATCTCATGAGACAAGCCTAACTTTCATCCTGGAAATGCCACAAGAACAGCTGTTTCCTGCCCTAAAGCAGGAAATGCAAGAGACACAAATGCAAAATAATAAAACCAAAACACGTTAATTGACCTGAGTTACATTTCAAACAAGGTTTGGATTCAAGTGTGAGTTTTGTTCAAAGGTCACAGGCATTGTGACCTAATGAGTATCAGCATCTCTGTAGCTGCCAAAACTATATCCCTTCAGAAATGACAGAAAGCGGGAGCAAGTTATTGCTTTATTTAATTTCACATTTAGATATTACAACAAAACTCTTAATGACAAAGTTTAACAAGTACTATAGGAGGAGAGGGAAAAACAGCTGTGTTCTAACTTGTTTGATATATAACTGAATTGTCAGAGACAGAGATTCAAAGTGATTTAAAAAAACCCACAAACACTCCTGGGTAGCACTGGGATAGAAACACACATACACACACACTCTCCTACTTGCAACACACACACACACACTCCTACTTGCAACACACACACACACACACACACACACACTCACTCTCTCTCTCTCTCTCTCTCTCCTACTTGCATCGAAGGCCACTTTACCGAAACATTCAATGCTGTTGTGGCAACAACTGGTACCAATTTAAACTGGCATGTAAAGGAAGCATTACTTGATACACATGAATGCCAATAGTTTTGACAGGAGTTGTTGACAGGAGTTGTGCATACGTATGAGCAAGTAGAGATTACATGACATTGCCCTGTGTCAAACATTGATTTTCATGAGTTATCTGTAATAACTAATGAAGGAGAAAGAAAATTAAACCAGCAGTACATTGATCATTTTAATTGTTTAATAACAAGTCTCTTAGCCCCAGAAATTAGGATCAGTTAAAAAAAAAAAAAATTGAAGTATTGCTACACCTAATAGGTACAGAAACTATGCTAGAGGTTTTAAAAGTTGAAATGGTCTAATGCAAGTGTAGCAGGGAGCCAGTGCATCAGAACTGAAAACAAAACAGCTCAACCTAATTTAATTGCTCAACCTGAGCTGCAGATTATAAAAAATGGCAGAAACGATGAAAACGTTGATTTTCCAAACTCTGTCAATTTGAATAAGCATGGATGGTGGCAATAACGTAAGAAAGATTTGATAGTGTGCTTTTAAATGATTGAAACACAAGTGTCTTATACAACTATGGATGGACACACATTACATTGATACTACATCAGAGGGAGTGTCTGCAGAGCAGCCTGGTTTACTCATATTATGTGCATTCTATGCATGTATTACTGTTGTTGCAAATACAGTTGGATTTGATTCCCCCCCCTTACCTCAAAGAGGATTCAAAATATAGAGAGCAAAGCAAACCTCTGCACGCGTTGTATGATTGCAACATTAAAAATAAAAAATCATGCCAGCTCCTTGCTCTTGAACTGCAGATGGATTTGCCCAGGTTGACTTTAAACAATGGACTGTAGTGTGATAACTTTCCCACTTTATTCAGAATAAAGGAGCACAGACAGCAGTGTGGTTCATTGCTTGCGACGATAGCCAGGCTGTTCCAAAGTAGCGCAAGGGATTTGCTAATATGTTTTCAAATATCAGAGGGAGAAAGCTTTGTGACTCCTTTTACAGTGGCATTTTATTTGTCATTGGTAAATATTTTTCATAGGCCATGTTTGCAGCTTTTGATGTTGTGAAGGCCAAGCTAGGATTCAAAAAAGAACTAGACAAATTCATGGATGATAGGTCCATCAATGGCTATTAGCCACGATGGGCAGGGATGCTGTTCCTCAGCTCTGTTTGTCAGAGGCAGGGAATGGGTGACAAGGGAGGGATCATTTGATGATTATTTGTCCTGTCCATTTCCTCTGGGGCACCTGGTGTTGGTAATTATGGGAAGAGAAGATACTGGGCTAGAAGGACCTTTGGTCTGATGCAGTATGGCCGTTCTTAAGTGTATTTCCAGGTGAAGTTTTTTTCTGGCGCACACAGAAGGATGGCATATGTAATGTGTATAGTTAGGACAAAAAAGGCTGGATATAAAGGATCAGGAGAGTGGGCAAAATTCAGCCTGGGCTTAGGCCAGCTTTCACCAACCATGATGAACCAGATATAAGATTAACCTCCTAAGACCCAAGAGGCTGCTGCAGCTGAAAAAGTGGGTGACAGCCTAGGGCATGGCTTAGGCACCTAGAAGCTGCCTTGATTCAGTAACTTCCCACAGGCTCTGTCAGTAGGGTTTTCTTCTTGAGTCATGACCACAACTCAAAGCTGCACTAGCTGACTACTATGTGGTAAATTCCCCTGGGGTTCAGGGGGATTAGCAGGCACAGGGAGGTGTGAATTTTGCAGACTCTCCTCCAGCTCTCTGATATGTACATCCCACTATAATTTCACTGACACAAAAGGGAAGAAAAATATTTTTGGTGAAAGATTTTGTGCCTTGCAGATGTCTATGTGTATTTTTAAACCAAAACCACCTACATTCCCATTCATCAAGTAAAGGCACAACCACACACTTGTGCAGAGAAGAAATGTAATCAGACAGAAAAGACACTGAATGCATATACAACGTGCAGGTCAGTGCATGATTGGTACAGACAACGGTAGTGCCAGCTTTGTAAATGCACAAAACCCTCTTATGAAGGAAAAATATAATCTGGAAAAATATATCTGATACAAAATAATAATAATAATAATAATAAAGTCAAACCAAAACCCTTAGTTCTATACATAGAAGCCTGGCCTGCAAGCAGAATTCCTCTGGTGCTAAGACGCCAAAGGTATAAGGAACTTCTGTCTCTGAAAGGAGTGTGGGATGGGATGCGAAAGGAAAACTCATAAGCTGTTCAAACAAGCCTCTTCACCAAGATTTCTTTGATACTTTTCTGAAGATGCTCTGTGGCAGGGTTCCTCTTCTGTGCAGGAACAGGAGAGGAAAAGCAGGTGAGGAATGGCAGGGAACCAGAGCAGAAATGTGTTCAGATGGGCTGCATCAAGAGTCCAAACTCCTGTGGTTTCACATAAAAAAGCTGCTTCTGTAGATACCAGTATTTCTCTATCCCACAACTAGGGAAGCCCACTGGAATGAAAGGCAGGTTCATTATGCTGGAAAGTGCTGGGATAGAAGCTGAAGAGGAGTCTGTCTGAGGTGTGGTCTCCCCCTTGGAGGGCCTGGTGGGGCACTGGCTGACTGGTCGCTGAAAATGGATGCAAACTGTATATGAAGCCAATACAAGTCCATCCAGGATAGTAGCACTTACCAAACCCACAACACAGGGGTTTCTCTTCTACTGCAGCTATGCCAGCAAACAAAGTGATGCCATTAAAGGGACCTTATCTTTGTGCTTTGTATTCTTTATTGTTTGTAAAACCCTTGCAGCTAATTGCAAATAAAAAATGTCCCACCCAGCCACTTTGATCCTTTTCCCTTTCATCAAACACTGATTTTCCCCCCGGGGTTTAGAAACCAGCTGAAATGCACATGACTGTTATTTTGTTTGCAAAATAACAGAAGCAACAAACCTTACAGGGCTCTGAGGAGAGGGATGATCAGTTACCTGCTCCCAGCACAGAGTATAAAATTCAACTTTTTTTGCAGGGTCTACAAAAACAGTGGATACTTATCTACCTGCTGGGGTGACTTTAGCTATTAGCTGATAACCATTTCAGGATGTCTTGCTTTAAGATGGCAAAAAAAATCCACCTGATTAGATAAAAGGAAAAACTATGTAGCACTTTAAAAACTAACAAGATAGTTTAATAGGTGATGCGCTTTCGTGGGCCAGACCCACTTCCTCAGATCATATTCTGGACGAGAATTGGCAGATCAGACTAACACGGCTACTTCTCTATTACTATTCACCCCACTAGATGTAAATGCAGGCCTCCAATGCCAGGGATGCTAAGTGCCTGGGGCTGATTCACAAGGGAATAGTGGTGGAATAGAATGGAGTGGCTTTGAGAGGCTGGGAGTGCTTTTGTGCCTAGTGGGTTACACACCCATATCCTTCGGTATTGGCATGTTTACAAGGAATAGCCAGATCCACTGGGATCTGCCTGTCCACCCGTTGCTGGTACCGCTTCGTAAGTTTTCCCTTTGGCTCCATCCCTCTCCTCAGTGGCTGAAATCATGAAGACTAAGAGAGTAGAAAAAACCAAGGGAAAAGCATTAAGGCTGCACGTCAAGAAGAGGCTTGACTCAGCCAGCTCTATTTATATCTGACCTGACATGGGACTTATTGAGTAGAAACCTATCAGAACAGAGGCTGGATGTGGAGAGGAGGATGCAGCACTCCACACAGATGCCCACTCATTGGTGGAATTAGTCTGTCTCACCCATACAAATAAAACAAAACATCCCAATCGGGGATGTGCACTCTCCCGTGCCTATGTGGATCAGAAGCTGCATCCTGAGTCATCAGTCTAATTCCGAGGAGCTCTGGCTCCCTCTCTCCATCTGTTCTGTGAGGATTTCCTGCTGTGGTTTGACTTAGGTTGGAGGGGAAGCTCCATATGGCAGTGGCAATGCAGCAATGAAGAATGGAAGATGGTGTCTCGGCATGGTGTCTCCACACCTGTTCCTGTTAATACTGCTCTGAAAAGAAGGACGCGTGGACGGTGGAGGGACTGGCCCCGTCTCCGGGTGGGGTGTAGCTGCTGTCCTCTGAGTGTTCTGACAGTTCCCCATATTCACTGTTGTAAAAAGTCTGGCCTCCGACTGGGGACCGATACAACGGTCGACACCTGGCTCTCAGGTCCGACTGTTCCGCTGCCAACTCTACATTTTGACTGGGCCCTTTACTGCTGTTAGCAAAGAGAGATGCAGAGAATCAGGTCAGAGCAGTGATGGAGAAAGCCAAATCCTTTCAGAGAGGCTTCCCAGCATCAGCCAGAACTCCATGGAAGAGCTGCTAAAGCATGGAGGCAAGGCAGGCATTATGGGGGACACGCTGCATGCTAACAAGCAGTCAATAAGGTACCAGTCACTGCCCATCACTCTCACATCCTGGGCATCCACCACCCTGACACGTCGCACACTCAGACTCCCTGCACATGTGGTATAACCTTTCCCCACAGCAAGGGGTGGGCAATCGTGTTAGGGTATGGAAATTGTAGGGTTGGCCATGAATGCTCACGAGTTGGGTTTGGAGTGAGGGAGTAGGTGCAGGCTCTGGACTGGGGATGAGGAGTTTGGGGTACAGGAGGGGGCTTTTGGCTGGGACTAAGAAGTTCAGAGGGCAGGAGGGGGCTCTGGCTTGGGCAGGAGTTGGAGTGCAGGTTGTGTGTGAGGGCTCTGGCTTGGCATGCGGGCTCTGGGGTGGGGTTGGGAGCGAGGGATTTGGGTGCTGAGACCCGAGGAGTTTGGAGGGCAGCAGGGGAATCAGGGCTGGGGCAGGCGGTTGGGGCATAGAAGGAACTCAGGATGCAGGCCCAGGTGCCTCTAATCTCCTTAAGCGGCTCCTGGAAGCACTGGTATGTCTTTCCCTCCAGTTGACTCCTATGCAGAGCATAACCATGCAGCGCTGTCTGCATGCACTTCCCCTGCGCGGTTCTCAGCCAATGGGAGCTGTGGAGTGGGGCATTGGGCGGGGGCAGTGCACAGAGACCTCTGGCTGTCCCTATGCATAACAGCTGGAGGGGGGTCATACTGCTGCTTCCGCGAGCCGTGTGGTGCCATGGTACTGCGGAGTAGGGCAAGCCCTAAATCCCATTCCTCAGCAGGAGCTCAAGGGCCGGATTTGGGCTGTAGTTTGCCCACCCTTAGGCTGCTATTTGGAGGCTATTTCAAGTCAAGTCCTCCGTCATGCAGGCAGACCCACAGCCACCGTGCACATTCCTACATCCAGTTCTCTATTGGGCCTTGCAATGTGATCAGATTATAATAAGACCATAAACACACTGTTGATACCAACACTACAGAACTGCAACAAATCTAATGGGAGGTATGACACATGGCATCCTGCAGGCTAACTGAGGCAGCTTGTAGAGAAAAGTATGGAAATGGTAATTAGGGCCAGTTAATGCTAAATAGGCAAGGACTTTGAAATACAACCCTAATTGCGTGTTTCTATTTATATATCATGTTAGATATTAACCATGGAAAAGACAGGGCCTGTGTATTACCATAGCTGTTTATTAGGAGATCAAAGAGAATATTAACATTTAAATGAATCTTGGGTGAAATAATTTCATTGTGTATATGTCTCCTTAAAGTTTGTGATAAACTATTTAATGGATAAAAAGTCTCAGAGGGGTAGCCATGTTAGTCTGCAACTTTAAAAACAGCGAGCAGACCTGTAGCACCTTAGGGTATGTCTAGACTGCATCCGTCTGTCAGCAGAGGGATGCAGATGAAGCAAGTCGATATTGCAAATGAAGCGGGGATTTAAATATCCCACGCTTAATTTGCATAAAAATGGAGCCTAAAAAACCTCCTGCAAGAAGGTTTATGGGATCTGTTGAAAAAGGCGTTCTTTCTTGACAGATCCCCCTCTAAACTGCCACTTTTTGCTAACAAAATGCTGAGTCGGCAAAAACTGCGGCCATTTTTATGCAAATTAAATGCAGGATATTTAAATCCCCTCTTCATTTGCAATGTCGATCTGCCTAATCTTCATCCCTCTGCCGACAGTATTTATAGTATCATGAGCTTTTGTGAGCAAAATCCACTTCCTCAGATTATGAACTGGAATAGAAGTATCAGAAACCAGGTATTTTGTAAGGGTGGTGGTAGGTACTTGTCAATAATAGGCTATTACAAGTCAATTAATGAGGCTAATTAAGTGGCCTGAAAGTGTCCCATACTTAGCTTTTGATGTAAAAATGCAGTGTTAAGCGCAAGAAAAATTGGACAAATTTATTCTGAAGAAGTGGATTGTACCCACGAAAGCTCAAGATACCATCTACATGTTTTGTTAGTCTTTAAAGTGCAGCTAGACTATTCGTTGTTTTTTCAGTTTTTCTAGTAGCAGACTAACTCGGCTCCTCCTCTGAAGCTTTTGGATACATTTCCTTATGTTAATTACCACGATGTTTGGGAAACAGAAGCTTACATCAAGAGCTTGTTGTTCTGCCAGGATGGTAGTGTCAAAAAGCCAGCAGGAAACTGTCTAAGTCTAAGACGATCCTTGGGTCCTGATCCTGTCATCTCAGATCTGCTTAAGGTTTCATACAGGGGAAACCTAGTCCATAAGGATTGAGATCTGAGTACTAAGCTGGTCCACTCCGAATCTGATTTTGGACACATAACCTATGCACTAAATTCTAAAAGAACTGCTTGGAACTACACAGCTTACCATGTCTACTCTGAATCTGATCTTAGCACTGTACTCACGTCTGTACGTACATTGATCTTTTAACCAATACACTCTCTTTTATTTTTTTTACTAACATTTAGTTTTGTTAATAAGAACTGGCTATAAGTGTAGATTTGGGGTAAGATTCACTGACCCAAGAGGAATGTGTCTGATTCTTTGGGACTGATAGAACATTATTTGCCTTGTGTGGCTGGGTGGAAGCTGGTTTGCTTTAACAACTGGGTAGTTGGCTCCTGGGTAACCAGTAAGTTACCAAAGAGGCTGTCTTGTGCTGGCCTGATCAATCTAAGTATTGGAATAGCCACCAGCTTTCAGGGGTGGTTGCCCCATTCATGCTAATTGAGTGACCTCAGCTGGCTTCCCTGGTACTCCAGTCACAGCTCTGCTGCAAAGTAGACTTCTGCAGGTGCATGATTATTATTATTATATGTTAATAGGCTTGCAGCTGGGAACATCAGTCAAGGATCAGGACCCCTTTGTGTCAAGCACTGTAGAGATAAGTAACAATGAACACAGATACCACCCCAGGGATCTTTAAGTCTAGGTGTTAAACAGGATACAACAGGTGGCAGAAATAAACTGGGTGGGGGAGGGCTGAAGGATAAGGTAACAAAACAGAAATCTCCCCTGCCTAACTAATGTCACTGCACTGGACAGTGATTTGTAGGCATCATTGCAGAGGGAAGTTTTAAGGAAGGATTTTAACAGATGTGGTGGCTTTATGAAAATTGCGGGGAACATTTTCCTCATGTGTCATGGGGATGTAGGAAAAGAATGTGGAAACGCCTAAGGGAGAAGTGGACAAGTACTTACTTGTGCCTTGTTATCTCAACAGAGCCATTATTCCTTTGCCTTATGGAATGTGTTTTGGGCTGTCAGAGGTGCTGTATCAGCAGCTTTCACAAGCTGATTTGCTGAGGTATTTTACCACTTGTTAGAAGTTTGTACATTTCACGTAGCTGACTCACCCAACTGTGCCATGCAAAAATCCTAAGTCTTTACTGCAGAGGACTTCAAGGGCATGTTTACATTGGGGAGTTATTTCGAAATAACTCCTCTTATTTCGAAATAACTCCTCTTATTTCGAAATAACAAAGTGAGCATCCACACTACCAAGCTTGTTATTTCAAAATAATAACTCCAGCTTGTGAACAGGAATAAGCTTATTTTGAAATAGTTATCTCAGGAGTTATTATTTCGCAATAACTAGGTAGTGCAGACACAGCCCAAGAATGCTGCCTCTGGTAGCAGATTCTCAGGGCAGGAAACTACAGATACAATGGAGCTCCATGCTCTCCCTATAGCACACACTGCTGTGAACAAGAGTTATCTTTCAGAGTGAGTTAGGGCTTGTCTACACTGGCACATTTTGTAGCCAAAAACTGCCTTTTGGCGACAAAACAGTGAAAGCATTTACACTACAATGCGACTTGTGTCGGGAAAAACATCCAGTTTTGGTGACAGAAAACTTCCATCCCTGCAAGATGCTTTTGTCTTTTCCCCTCCCTTTATTGTCAACAAAGAGCTAGCATGGACTCAGTTTGTTTTGTGGAGAGAACTAGCTTCTTCCAGTATCCCACCATGTCTGCTCTGCCTGCTCAGTGTTTTGTGATTTCTGCTGAACTGCAGGCATACGCCCCTCCCCTTTCAAAGCTCTGGGGAGTATCTGACAGATGAGTGAGTTGCTCCTTTTGAGGAACAAAGAACAAGTCATTGGAGTGCTCCTGTTCAGCCCTGCACTAGGAACACAGTCTCAGGCAGACAGCTGCTGCAGGGGGAGGGCTGGAGAGACTTCTGTGCTGTTTTGACATTCCTCAGCAAGGAGAATTCACAGAGCTATGAGAAAATCCCAAGAAGCACAGGGATCAGCTTTGCTTTCTCACAATGCTGCGCTGTGGGATGCTTACCCACATTGCTTTGCTCTATCTTGTCAACAGGGTGTTAGCAATGTGGCCATGAAAAGGTGACAATGGGAGGCAGAAAAACTAGTTTGACTAGGTTTTCACTTATGGTGACTTTTGCACGTCAACAGCACTTTTGTCGCCAACTCTTCCCAGGGTAGACATAATCTTAATGAGGTACCTGAAACCACCTTCTTTCCTGTGTCTGTTTTCTATCCTCTCCAATTCCTCAGATGCCAGGACCATCCCACTGTCTGTTTGATTGTCCTGAGAGGAAACAAGGAAGCCATACATTATGAGTACCATCCCTGTCAAGTGAGCCATTCGCTCAACATGGCACAAATGCAGAAGCAGTCGTTCATTAAATCAAACACAGGAGGGAGCTGGGAAGGGTGATTTTATCAAGTGCCATCATTTCACAGAGTCCCTTTTTCAAAAGAAGCCTCCTAAAAATGGCATATACAAATGCAGATTTGTGTGTGGCTGCATGGGGAGCAACGGGCATGTTTTCACATTTCTGGCAATACTAAACAGTTTTGTAGCTGGGGAGTTCATTTTTACCATTGTGGGAAAATGGTATTGTCCTGCTTAGGGAAACCCAGAAGGGCTATCACTGCACATCACTGTTCCCTGTAAGCTGTGCGCTTGGGTGGCCACCCAGGAGAGATTCAACTGCTGCCCAGCTGCCAGTGTTTTTACTGGCAATGCACATCCGCACATGCCTCGATGTATATAACAAAAATTATTCTGCACAAGCGGTAAAAGTTAGAGGGAACATTGCTACACATTATTGGGCATTTCCAGGTGCTATACAATCCAGACCAGGAATTGTTAAAGTCTGGCCCAAGGTTATTAGCATACAACTGATCCCCTACTGTCCTTGTTCTCACAAACCTGGGAAGACTGAAGCGATGAGAGATGATCTAGATCCAGGGTGTGTAACATGCTAACCACTAACCACATGTGGCTATTTGGCTGTTTGCACGTCGCTAGTTTGCAATAGCAGTAGCCACCATAGTAGCTACAGCTTCAGAACTGGTTGGACACCATGGATCTAGATGGTGCTTGATTCTGCCATGAGGGCAGGGAACTGGACTCGATGACTTCTCGAGGTCCCTTCCAGTTCTAGTGTTCTATGAATCCTTTCTGGACCTTGCTGGCAGAACTAATTTATTGGTCCAACACTTAGATCCTACAGTGATGGGCACTAAAGGAAATCCTTATGTGACAGATAGATGAACATGCACGGGACGGGAAGAGATGGTATTGGGATGGACAAATAGAGAGCTATGCTCCTTCCATCACAAGTCAATGCGCCAGAAAACAAACAATCCCCTTATTCCTCCCTGCCCATCTCCACCCTGTCTCTACTTACCGGGTGTGTTTTATACATTGTGTGTGTCATGGGAAACTCTTCAAATGTCTTTATTCTGGACGGACACCTTATCTGATTCCCTCCAGTCAAACAACCAGGGAATGACACACAGTTATAGTATCTGGCGAGAAAAGCATACAGCACACAGTCAACGGAATAAGTCAGTATCCGGATCAGTGCTCCACAACAGGCCACTTTGCCTTTCAATGCAGAGCTTAATCTGGGGAGCAACCACAAGGGGCATTTATGGGGGCTGGAGGGATTCATACATCTCAAGACTCCAGTGCTGTGAGGTAGACTCCTGTTCTTTCGCTCGTGGGGTGGAATATTGTGTACCCTACTCCAGGACCGGCCCACAACATTTTGGCACCTGAGGCGGGGAACTCAAATGACACCCCCATACCCTCTCGCTTGGGCCAAAACTTTGAAAGTCTCAATTCTCTGGGTCCTAGTGGCGCACCCCATGGTCTGGAACCTGAGACGGCCACCTCAGTTCGCCTCATGGTAAGGCCAGCCCTGCCCTACACCTCCGGAAGCAAACAAGCACCAATCTAGCCCCAGTCCATCAAAGTTCATCAAAGAGGAGCTGCTCACCCCCAAGCAGCAGGGCTAGAGCTACAGTGCTTAGCAGTGGGGTTAGCTGCTGATGTACTGCTGTGGGGGACAAAGTGAGAAGGACAGAGCCAGTTACTTGGAACAGAGAAGTGATGGAAGCCTGAACATGCAGATGTCCTCATGTCCCAACACTGGATTGTGGAACTGCCCCCACAAAAACAGGCAGGGGTAGAGGGCCCATCACTTGAGTTATTTAGAAATGGGTAAAGTAAAGCACGGCTGAGACCAACCTGCATTAGACAGTCTCACAGGTCCCTTCCCTCCATCACACACAGGACCCTGAAATCTGTAGCCATGGTCTTGGAAGTATGGCTGCCCTGTTAGTATGACTGGAGGAGGCAGGCCATATGCTCAGACAAAAGAGAACATGAACAAAACCCAGAGGCAACACATCTTGAGTGCTGGAGTCGGACCTGCCTAGAATGTATCCTCCTGACCTAGCACTTCTGGGATCTTAGCACTTCCAAAGAGCACCTTAGAAGACTAGATCCCTGCTTGGCTCTTGCTTTTCCTCTCCCGGTGTTTCCTAGAGGACAGCAGGGACTCACCTCGCTGCCAAACTGTGGCAGCGTAGCCTCATGTCAAACTCCTCTTCATCAGAGTTCTGCTGGGCAGAGGAAGGCACTTGGGAGAAGCCGTCATCTTCGGAGCTCTGAGAATCATTCAGTGGGATGTAATCCTTCCCCTCCTGAAGGAAAGGGAAGGGAATGCGCTTACAGAGAGAAGAGAACTTGGCAATCAGGAGAGAACTTCATACACAGAAACCATCAATAATGAGAAGGAGTGTTCCCACTGTATGCTGTGTTCTTGTGGCCATATTGGTTTCAGGGTATTAGTGAGACAAGGTGGGGGAAGTAATATCTTAGGCTATATCTACACTGTGGAGCTATTTCGGGATACTTCCAGTATCCCAAAATAGCTATTGCGTGTCTTTTGAGCAAACCCGTTCTTTTGAAATATAACAGTCTCGCTTTTCCGACGTCCCTGTAAAGCTCATTCCACAAGAAGTCAGGCATGTTTCGGAATAGTGATTTTCTTTGAAATAAGTGCTGTGTAGACAACGCCAAATTTCAAAATAAGTTACTTTGAAAATAATTCGAAATAAGCTATGCAATTTGCGTAGCTCAAATTGCATAGCTTATTTGGAGCTCTGGGTGCCATGTAGACGCATCCTTATATGGGACCAATTTCTGTTGGTGAGAGAGATGAGCTCCATGCAAACTCAAAAGAATAGAAGTTGGTCCAGTACAAGATATTACCACACTCACTGGCTATGTCTATACTACAGGGTTTTGGCGCAAAAACCTGCGGAGCGTCTACACCTCAGCACGTTTTTGCACAAGAAAATTTACAGTAAAATGGCAGAACAGAGGGCTTTTTGTGGTGTAGGTTTTCCTCTTTCTACGAGGAAAAAGTCCTTTTTGCGCACGAGCTCTCTTGAGCAAAAGCACATTGCTTTTGCGATGCGCTTTTGAAGTATGGACGTGCTTTTGTGCAAGCAGTTTTTGCAGAAGATTTCTTCAGCAAAAAGCTTCTTGCATAAAACCCCTGCAGTGTAGACGAAGCCACTTTGTTTCCCTAATATCCTGGGACCAACCCAGCTACAACCACACTGCATAAAATGGAAATATTCTTTCCCATGATCGTGTCACCTGTCTTGTCTCCCTGTTCTCATTTGAGGTCTTTTCCTTTTCTGGAACAAATTAACCCCCTGGAGATTTCCATGCCTTTTGAGTGCAGCAAGTTAAGTGTTTGTGTGCATACAGGTGTATATAGCGTGTGCTGATGTATATGGGGAGGGGGAAGAGTTAAAGGAAATAGAAGGGGAAAGAAAATAACTCTAGTTTTGTAACTTGATAATGCATACAGGTCTTTAGGCTTTCTTCTTTCTGAGGTGTTCATAGCAGGTATGTATGGTACTTGTTCTATTGATCTCTATACTAAGGCTTTCTGCTAGTCACCTAACTGCCTTTGGGCTGTATTGTAAGTATAACACCGAACAAAGTCTACATCAGGTGCTGCCTTTGGTATAGTACCTCCCTCTAACCGTCTTATCAACTACTGAGCAGCACCTGCAATGTGGTGCACATCACATGTCTATTATGGGATGCACCAACGAAAAGTCAGCCTTCCAAAAGCACACAGCTGCAGACATGTCTGCATTGGAACACCGCAGCAAAAGAGTTAATTTGTATTCATAACTGAGAAAGCTAATCATATGTAAGCGTCCACCTATAACAGCGCACAAAGCAGAAGTTGAAAACACAGTGGCGTGCTCTTGCCACATAAAAGTGCTGATAAGCTTCTGTTTAACAGTAACACATTAAGGTAAACTTTTACAGCAGTGTGTGCCTGTGTTTGTGTAAAAGAATAACTATATCATTCAAATGCCCACCAAACTCCGATTTGGAGAGTTGCAAAATGTCGTGGTGTTCGTTAATTGTCAGCTTGAATTAGTTTGAAAAATACAAGGAGTAATTTATGGATAAGGATAAAAATACTAAAAAGACACCTGAGAAATAACGAGAAGGATCTGATCTATAGCTGAACAAGAGTGATATGTTCGATGCCATGAAGTATACATTTTATAAAGCCAAACTTACTATATCTGTTGGCTGGTGTAAATTAGTGTATCTCCAATAGTGCTATGCTGATTAGGTATCTCCAATAGTGCTATGCAGCGTAGGCTCGGACCCACTGCCATGTCTCTCTGCCTGCACGCATACGGAGTCAGAGGTGGGCCAGCAGCAAAAGGAAGAACAAGCTGTTTGAGGAAAACTGGCCCAGCGCAGTTTGATTCTGGAGGATGACAGTGCACGAGAATCTCACCTGTTGGACATTTTCCTGAAGAAGGTCCCCGAGGATCTCCACCAGATCTGAGAAAGTTGGTCTCTCTTTGGGGTCCCCATGCCAGCAGCTCAGCATTATACGATAACTACCAAGAGGAAACAATGTGCGCTTTGCAAACAGGTCATCCTCCTCCCTCAATTAAACGCCAGGACTTTTTGTGGCACTCCCCCCACCCGTGATGGAGGGGAGTGTGATCCCCCATGTCACCACCTGGCCTTGGACAGCACCATTCCAGCTGGGTTACTTTGCACAGAAGGAAGTTTAAAGCTTAGTTATTTTAAATAGCCCTGAAACATCCCTCTAGTTTTTGTGACTATTCTGACTAGATTCAGGCTTCTACCTGGAGACTTGGTAATGGAATAAAGTGAGGCTGAGCCAGCCCACTGCATACTGGTTGAAAGAGAGTGGTTATCTGTCCCACCTGGGGGACTTTCCTCTGGCCTCATTGGTTCTGTTTTTTGTTATTGGGTGGGTGGGGAGGACGTTTTCTATAGTATTTCCTTATCTGGAGTTCAGGTCTGAAATCTCCAACTCACATTTCTGCAGTGGCATATTCTGGAGCTCTCATCCTGGTACCATCTTTCAGTCTCTGGCAGAACTCCTCATTGATCTGCACGCCAGGGTAGGGCGAGGCACCTAGAGAAAAACAACAACAACCCAGGATGGTCAGGAGAATGAAGCCCACAAGACAACAACCAAACTTCCTCCTCATTGTAGGTTCCCTCTCAAACTGCTGAGAGATGCAGTGACTATTCTGTTTCACTCCAATTCATGAAATGGGGCCTTCCTTCTCAAGCAGAAAACCCTTGGTCCCACATTAGGAGGTGGTGGTCTCCATACATCTAGCCTGCCCTTCCACCTTTATCTCATTTTGGGACTCTTCAGATTGCGCTTGTCCCACAACTGGGAGGAGATGTCATTTTCTTCCCTCAAATATACTGCAGAAAAGAACATTCTTCCTTCTCCTCACCTACCTAGTGAAAATATCTCCCAGAGGAGGACTCCGAAGGACCAGACATCACTCTGGGTTGTGTAGACCTTGTCAAAGATGCTTTCTGGAGCCATCCACTTCAGAGGAAGGCGTGCCTGTGGGAAGAGACGTGCTGTTGGAATTCCATCACCCTTATGGACGGGACATAGAAATGGCCATTTTGGGTCAGCCCAAAGGTCCATCTAGCCCAGTGTCCTGTCTTCTGACAGTGGTCAATGCCAGGTGCCCCAGAGGGAATGAACAAAACAAATGTCACCTATTCCAAGCTCTGACATACAAAAGCTAGGGACACCATCCCTGCCCATTCTGGCTAATAGACATTGATGGACCTAACCTCCATGAATTTATCTAGTTCTTTTAAAACGCTGTTAAAGTCCTGTCCTTCACAACAACCTCTGGCAGGGTGTTCCACAGGTTAACTGTGCATTATGTGAAGAAAAGCTTCTTTTTGTTTGTTTTTAAACCTGATGCCTATTAGTTTTACAGGAAAGAGTAAATAACTTTTCCTTATTTACTTTCTTTACATCAGTCATGATTTTCTAGACCTCTATCATATCTCCCCTTAGTTGTCTCTTTTCTGGAACAAGGTATGAATACCACCAGGAAAAAAACCAGAACCAAGGCAAACATCTTGCAATTCCTCTTCCCTGGCACATTTTACAGCCAAATGAGGAAGCTGATGGGGAGTCAGGTAGTTCTGTAGACAAAGCAGGGAAACACTGAGGTCTGGTAGATACAGAAGGGGCGGGCGGTTAGGAATACATAGGCAGGGAAGAGAGAAGAAGTAAGGATAGCTAAGAAGCTAAGAGAGTTGACAATGGACTGATGGGCAGAAAGGATAAGGATTGATGTCTGGAAAAGGCAGAGAGATGTACCCACATCTGCTGGGTTCTGCTGAGAGTTCATTAGCGATTACAGCAGCATATGCTCGGATAAGTAAATATCACATTCCTGGCTGAACCCAGTGAGGAATCACAGTCTGAATGTTCTTTGGTCACAGATGGCATTAGACCTCTTGCTCATTCCTGTTTCCCTGCGTGTACCCATCACAGGATGGTTTTTATAATTCCAGTCCCAGTTAGCTGAGACTCTGTATACTCACGCTGCCCTTCCTGACATAGTCAGGATCCTTGTAGATGTCCCGAGCCAGTCCAAAGTCACAGATCTTCACCACATTGTTCTCTGACAGCAGGATGTTGCGAGCTGCCAGATCTCTGTGAATGCACTAAGGGGAAAACAATGGCAAAATCACAAAGGGTGGCACTTTTGGGAGATCAGAAGGGATAAAGGGGGAAACTAAAGTGCCATCCATTCAGTTCCCTTGTAGTAATGAAAGTAGGAACCCAGCACTTGAAGTTCTTAGGTACACTAGCCTTCCACATCTGCAGACTTGGGGTCAAGTCTATTAGTTCACAAAGAATGAATAGCAACAACCACAAATAACTGCCTCTGAGGGTGCTGGAAACAAAATACAAACCATAAAACAAGCCACATTTTCCTTCCTTATGAGAGTGGGTACTGTTTGTTTGTTTAGAAAGAGGCTAAAGTTAAAAATCCAAAGGAAGGCTGGGCTTTTGGCTAAGGGCCTGCACTGGGACACAGGAGGTCCGAGTTCTGTTTTCACCCCTGCCTGTGATTTCCCATGAGACCGAGTGTAAGTGGCTCAGTCTCTCTGTTCCTCATCTGTAAAATGGGAACAAGAATAGTGCCCTACCTTGCAGGGGCATTGTGAGTACAAGTTCAGGCCACCCTCCTTGTCATTTTACAGATGGGGAACTGAGACACAGAAGCTAAGCAGATGTGTATGTCTGCATAATACCCAGATGCATATTTATGAGGCATTCAGCAACTTGGTGGAGGGCACCACGTAAGATCATTCATAGATAGATGTAAAATAATAAGGTGCGCTCACCTTTCTGGATGCCAGGAACTCCATTCCACGTGCCACCTGGAAGCTATAGCAGATTAGGTCTTCCATTGTCAGTGGACTCTGCCACAAATCATCCACTGTCCAGAGAGGAAAGAAAAATTGTTATGGCACCCAGCTAGTGGAATTTACCCTTCACCCCTGCCTACTTCCTGCAACTGCTGGACGAAGTCAGCGTCTAAACAAATGATGGGGATATGTTTGGTGGAACCTGATTCCTAAAAATGTCAGATCCACTATAAAGTGTCCCTGTGATCATTGCAAGTGGTAGAATGGTCACCCAAGAAGTCTGCGCAAGTCTGAGGAAGAAAATTGCCGCAGCTAATGATCTTCAATTAGGACAGTCAACAGAGAAATCCCAGACCTATGGAGTGTGTGCCAATCGCAGAAGCAGGCAAGTAGAGGAGGCTTCCTGACAAACCACATTCCTTACTATTAATATTTATTATCTGTATTGTGGTAATTAAAGGCTCTGAAGTATCACAGAGTGAGAAGCTGGCCCCAGAGACTTTATAGTATAAGTTTTTACGAGAGACAAAAGATGGATACAAGAAATGGATGGGGGGGAACCACAAGGCAACAGCAAAAAGATTTTGTTATTAATAGTCTACCTCCACATCAGAGGGGAGGAAGGCTCTCTCTCACTCACTCTCTCTCACTTTCAGGGCCCTCCGTTTATCTGTCCTCACTTAGGGTATGTCTACACAGCAGTATTATTCCGGAATAACAGCCATTATTCCAAAATAACAATGCGAGCGTCTACACAGCAATTCCGTTATTTTGAAATAAATTCGAAACAACAGATGGCTTATTCCGACTTCTGTAAACCTCTTTCCACGAGGAATAATGCCTCTTCCAAAACTGCTATTTCGAAATAGCTGTAGTGTGGAAGTTCCACTGCTGCTATTTCAAAATAGCTCCACCCCCCAGGGCATTCACAGCTCCTGGAGCGCTAAATCGAGGTAGTGCGTCCACATTAGGGGAGCCTGCCTCGGACTAATTTTGAGGCTTCCCTGCAGTGTAGATGTGCAATTTTGAAATAAGCTATTTCAGAGTATTTCTTCTAGAATAGCTTATTTCAAAATAAGTGCAGTGTAGACATACCCTCAAAGAGGAAGATCATAAAATCATAAAATACTACGACTGGAAGGGACCTCAAGAGGTCATCGAGTCCAGTCCCCTGCCCCTATGGCAGGACCCAGTACTGTCTAGACCATCCCTGATAGATATTTATCTAACCTACTCTTCAATATCTCCAGAGATGGGGATTCCACAACCTCCCTGGGCAATTTATTCCAGTGTTTGACTACACCGACAGTTAAGAACTTTTGTAAGATGCATATCCTACATCAGATGGGGAGAGGAATTCACTGTGTAGCTCCAGAAAAATCACTAGTTTCTGTGTGACTTAATCAACCCAGCTGGAAAATGGAACAAAACGGCTAGTCAGGAGACCAGGGTTCTACTTGCACCTCCTCCAAAAACTTGCTCTGTGCTCTAAGGCAAGGCATTCTTGGGTCCCCCATCTGTAAAATGGGGTGATATTTACCCGCCTCTGTGAAGCTGTTTGAGGCTCCAGATGAAAAGCTCTTTGTAAGAGCTAAGGATTATTATCAGTTATACACTGCTAGGCTATGTCTAACTCACGGCTTCTTGCGCAAGTATGGCCATTCTTAAACAAGAATCCGCAGAGCATGTACACTGCCCGCCCGCTCTTGCACAAGGAAATTTACAGTATGGTGTGGTAAGAGAGGGCTTCTTGCACAAGAGCTATGCTCTTTTTTAACAGGTGCAAGCCCTCTTGCGCAGGAGCTCTTGTGCAAGAGGGCAGTGTGGACGCTCAGCAGGGATTTCTTGCACAAGAAAGCCCTATGGCTAAAATGGCGGTTGGAGTTTTCTTGTGCAAGAGAGCGTCCACACTGCCATGGGAGCTCTTGCGCAAAAGCACAGCGCACACATGGCAGTGTGGACATCTTCTTGCGCAAGACTTCTTGCACAAGAACCCTTGCGCAAGATGTTCTTGCACAAGAAGCCACGAGTGTAGACATAGCCCTAGCGTTCTGCATAGGCAGTCTTCATCTTCATCAAACTGGCTTATGTAACCTAGGATCATGCAATATGACAATTCCAACTAATGCATGACAATTTGACCAATAGTCTGTTAGTCCCAGTGAGTCTATTGTCAGATGCCTTAATTAGTCAATGCTAATTCAGTTTGGCACTAGTTAAAAGTAATGGGGTGAAATGAGGACTTCTGGTGAAGATCGGGGCTCGTTACCTTCCTGTATAGGCTGTGCTGTCTGGCTCTTGCTCATCAGAAGCCTGTTGAAGAGTGCACTGTCGCTGGTACCAGAGCGACTCCTTCTATCTGCTCTCACTGCTTCTACTATAGACTGGACTTGCATGCGCAGTCTGGGTGATTTCTCCTGGGAAAATGGAAAGCATGGGACATATCCTCTAATCACTGCAGCAGTCAGTCAGTTGACACATTTATTATACCCCAGCCTTCCCAGCTCCGATCCACCCATGCATAGGTGCTGATTCCATGAGTGTTCCAGGACTGGAGCACACCCAGGGGAAAATTAATGGGTGCGGAGCATCCACCCATGCCAAGCTCCCCTCTCTGCACCCTTCCCCCATGTCTCTCCTGTGTTGGCAGCTTCATATTTACCAATTTCTCCCCCTCCCTTTTAGCACTCCTGGAATTCCACAAGTCAGCTGATTCACAGCTTTCAAGCTCCAGGAGAGGGTGGTGGAGCGGGGACAGGGCACATTCGGGGGAGGAGGTGGGGAAGAGGTGGGGCAGGGAAGTTCTGGGAGACGGGTGGGAGGAGTGGGGATAGGGTGTGTTCAGGGGAGGAGGCAGGGAAAAGGTGAGTCAGGGTGGAGCAGTGGGGGAAGGGATGGAATGGGGACAGGGTCTGGAGCAGAGTAGGGGGTTGAGAACACCCTGGCAAGATGAAAAGTCAGCACCTATGCACCAGTGGCCTCCAGTTTTGGCCTAGAAGCATCAACCTCCTATTGTTCAGAAAGAAACATACTCTCTGCATTCACACATCAGACACACTATCATATGGAACCAACCCATTTCTAGGCACATATGTCTTTACATCTTATTGTCAGGGTTAGGCTCATTCCAAGCCATATAAATATTCTTCTTCCTTCACTAATTATGGGAAAAGCCCTTAAAGATGCCGGAAGATGAAGGAGGCTACTTACCCTGTAAGGGCTGAATCCTTCCCGTTTGGTCCGCAGGTAGTTGGAGAGGTTTCCATATTTACAGAACTCAACAATAACCATGAGTGGACCTGGAAGAGAAGAAACCAAGGTATTCCTGAGGCAGAATGAAGGACGCGGGGCTAAAATCTGTCTTGATTTATACAATGTGTAATCCCATCATTCTCAGTACAGATATAATCACACACATTTAAATGCAGTCAGTGGTATCATTACGCTAACACACACCTACACAGTGACACACAGAGCCCTCCTTACCCATACACAGAATATGCAGTTGTGCAGGGCACCTGAAAATTTGGGGCACCAGTTGGTCTTAATGTCCACCCACCTGCCTTTTCCTTTCCCTGTTCTGTGGCTCTGCTTCCTCCACAGAAGATCTAGTTAACGTAAACGTGACACAGCCTGCCAGAGCTATTAGCAGAACACTGAACCTCTGAAAGAGCCATTCAAGTGGTAATGAAGCCATTGACAGGCATTTGACAACCTCAGGTATGTACTGTCCGCTTCTGAATTTACTGTGTTAGTCGACAGGACCTTAGTTTACAATCGATTATATAATATTTCATTAGTGGGTTGCTGAAGATTATAAAATCACATAAAAATATCGAACCCATTGGCTGCTATTGGGCATAGGAGCATCAATTTAATAGTGCTGTGTAAGGCCTTATAAATCCTAAGGACAGCCCTGCACACACACAGCCAAGGAAATGGCAGAGTGAGGCAGAGGGAATGATGCGGTGAAAGAGCTTTTCACTCCATGGCCAGCACCCTTGATGGCTTTGGATATTTACCATTCGGTTTGGTGCAGGCACCCAGCAGGTTAACAACATTGAGGTGGTTTCCAATGTGGATGAGGATCTTCAGCTCCGACATCAGTGCCTTGTGCTCGCTTGCAGTAGCTCCCTCTGGAAACAAATACATCAAATAATGGTTCCTTGTAATTACTGCCTCTTCCTCCTCTCTTCTTTTTACTGTGGCCTAATCCCCAATAGCCCAAAAACCATGTCAGCATGACCTAAAACTGAGTTAAAGAGTTCTTGTTTACTTGGCTATAGCATAGTTGGAAGTGGTATACACGCGTAACTTGACTTTTTGACTTCTTGAGCGGATATGATGAGTCATTTCTGGGTAATACAAGAAATTGGAGGTTGTCTGATCCTGGCTAAAAACAGGAACATACAGGTTCAGAGTCCCCAGCTTGAGTCAAACCCAGAAGTTCATTTTTTTAGTCCATGTAGTATTCTAAACACCCAAAGGTACTCTTTGAACAGCTCATTTTACATGGCCTCCCCCCACCCCTGCGAAAACATGCACAGCATCTGGCATTGCGTCTTGGTAGTAATTTAGGCAGTGGAATATGTTGTTATTGCTCCATGACTCAATTTCATTCACACATTGCAAGATCCTCTATCATGAGCATTTTCTCTGTTATGTTCCTCCCTCATCTCACCACCTCTGGGATTTGCAATTTTTGGCTGTGGAGATTTTCCTAACTTGGATGGAAGGGGCTCCTTCTTAAATTAAATCTGCCAGGCTTCAAAGTCAGAAAACAAAGCACTTAACGGGGGATCTGCAAAACTTCTGGAAAATGTATTTGCAAACAGCCATGTTTTCAAACAGGCTTCTGCAATTGCTCCCACACATTTTCCAGGTGGATCCATATGCACAAATAGGCACTGAGATAAATAATGATTGGTTTCCTAATGCAAATACTCCTCTATATCTATACTTGTCCCTTTTGCATACATGTCAGGTAGCTGCATACTTTCCTGGGAACCAATACGTACAAACAAAAGTGATGTTTTTATCCAAAATGGCAACGTGCAGAATAAGAGGATGCCATCTTAGAGGCTTGCTTGAAAGCATGGCCACACAAGTTTAACATCTCGAATCTGTAGTATGAAATCTTACTTCAGCACTGAAACAGGTTCTAAGGCTGGTTCTACTCTCCTGACTTCAACAGAGTTGTGACCTACCAACTTCTGGTCTGAATGTGGTCCTTAAACATGAATTACAATCACATCTGAAAGCTAATGGTTTGAAAAGCAGATCCTTCTTCAGTTCCCAGTCAAGAGTGGGGCTCAGGATTCTGTATCTTTCCTTTAAGAGTGACTGATATTAGGGATTTAAAATTTAGATTAATGGGCTAATAGAATAGTCCATGCAATTTGCTGTGGGACCACAGGGCCAGTGGAGGACTCAAGCAGTCCCCCGCTGGCATCATGCTCCCCGCGGCATTTCAAAGTGGCAGCGCCACATGGAGCCCAGGGTCTGAGTCCCCAGCTGACCCCGGACACCATGTGATGCTGTCACTTTGAAATGCCACAGGGAGCCTGGCGTTTGGCTCCATGCGGTTGCAGTGCTGCCTGGAGCCCAGGGTCAGCAGGGGAGTCCCTAGCTGACCCTGGGTTTTTTGTGATGCTGCCGCTTTGAAATGCTGCATGCAACCCATATAGCGCTGCTGCTTTAAAGCACCCATTTCTCCCTCCCCCCCCACTGCTTCTTTCTGATAGAGGAAGCAAGGGGGGGAAGCGACTAGTCGACTAGGGTGTCGACTACATGATAAGCATTTGCTTATCGGACAGTCAACTAGATGTTCACATCCCTAGCTGATATCACCCAAGCTCTTGAAATGAAGCAGGAAGGAATGTTTTCCTGCTCTGCGTACAGCCTCTTAGGTGTCTAAGATTGGCATTAACTCTTGCAGAACCCTGAACCTGGGATTTGGCAGGTATATGAAAGAACTGATTTTTAAATATTTTGCTTCTTTGTGTCAGACATGCCGTGATCTAGACTAAGAACATGTTATCGGTTTGGAACCTTAAAACAATTCTACACCAACAGGGATGGATTTTCAAAAGTACTTTGATACCTACTGATGCAGATAGATGCCTGGTGGGATTTTCAAATGTGCTTACACAAGTCAGGTGCCCAAATCATAAAAACTTAAGAGTGGCCACACTGGGTCAGACCAAAGGTCCATGTAGCCTAGTTTCCTGCCTGCTGACAGTGGCCAGTCCAGAGGGAATGAACACCAATCTGTGGCAGAACCAGATATGATTCTAATGGGGGTTAGGCGCCGGGCTTGCCTGAATACTTTTGAAAATTCTACTAGCACCTAAATATCTTTGAAAACCTGGCCCTTTGACCTTCCCTCCTGTGTCTGCTCTGCCATGCTTCTTTCAATGGACCTGGATACGGACAGGATGCCACTTATCAAAGGCCAGCAGGGTCAGAGGCCATGGAGCTAAACTTTCAAAAGGAAGATAGTTGCTTTAGGGCCTGATCCAACTCCCATTCTCTGAGGGCTGGATTGGGTCCCAGGACTCTAATGACATGCACTCTAGCAATGACAAGGGACTACTTTAAATCACTCGAGATGTTTCTGTCAAAGACAGGTATTAACCAAATGGACATTCCCAGGCAGATGACTAATCCCCTGCTGTCTACAAAAGCCATTCATCTCGCCTCCCCATCTTCGTACCTTTCAGCATTTTAACGGCCACCGTTTCACAGCTGTTACTCTTATTAATCCCAAATGCGGAGGCTTCCACCACCTTCCCGAAAGCGCCATGGCCCAGGACTTTACCTGCCAAGGAGGGAAACACAGGGTAGCAGGGAGCGTCATGGAGGACTGGGGCGAGGCCAAGGGAAGAGGACAAAAAACAGGAAACTGCAAAGAGAGAAGGAATGGCAAAGGAAGAGGAAGGAGTGCAGTGTGCACCCTTCCCAGGTGGCTGCCTGCTCAGATGGCTGTAATGAGAGAAAGGACAAGGGGGGAACGGAGACAGACCCAGCGTTGACAAAGCAGAGGAAGGAAACAGCTTGAGGAGGTGAAGTGCCATTTGTCGCCCTGGAGCGGAGCGCGTGGGAAAGGTGTGCGTGACACCTTGGAGTAGAATGGCCAGCTGATGTCATCGTTCCGGTGCCTGGCGTTCTCACACACAGCACGCCGTGTAACCCTTTGGAGGGTGCATAATAAGTGGAGTGGAGCGGTGTTGTGCAGGCGCGTGTGTGTTCTGGCGTGTCTCAGGGAGGTGGCGGTATTCCTAGGACTGGGGTTTAGACTGGAGGGCTGCTGACCCCACAGCCAAAGGAGGACAGCCAAAAGGAGGTGCATGCCCTGGGCAAGCCAGAAGCCCCAGGCTTCAAGAATATTTGCTGCTCTTGTGTTAGCCCTTCTGAACTGTAAGCTCCCTCCCTGGGGTCCAGTCAGTGTTCCCTGTGAGTCGTGTGCACGTGTGGCCGCTCAGGACAGATTCCAATGCTGCCCAGTGGATTAGCAGAGCACCCACAGCTAGGTTTGGTCCCTACTGGTGGTGCACATTTGCACATGCCTTGGTGCACATAAAATTATTCTGCACTGAGATGGAAAAAATCCACACATGGATGGAAAAGATTAGAGACAACATTGGTCCCACTACTAGCTCTTCAGCCTACCCTTGCTGGGTACATTAGTAATATTATACCTGTTTTGCAGCTGGAGAAACAAAGAGATTAAGGAGAGGTTCTCATACCTGTGCTCCTGCACAATAGCACCTTACTCCATAAATAGCCCCACTGAAATCAATGGGGCTACCAGTACAGCAAGACAGCACTCAGTGTGCATTGGAGTTGCAAATCTGGCCCCAAGAGACTAGCCAAAGGTCTCTTGTTGGGGTTAGAATGCAGGTGTCCTGGTTGTAATAGCAAGATGACATTATTGACCATATGTATCCGTCTTGGTTGCAGGGGATATTAGAGAGAGAAGCTGGGTGAGGTAACACCTTATATTGGACCAGCTTCTGATCCTAGCTCAAAGGAGCTCTGGCAGACTCAGCAGCATGGGTGATGGCTTCCAAAGTGCCAGAACCACCATTGGGGATCGATTTCAAACATGTTTTCCAAGCTCCATCTCTTCCCTCATCACCCAGTGTAGACAGGGCAAGGTCCCACTGGGAAAGCTACTCAGCTCTGAGACTTTTGTCACTGAGATACAAGAGCTCTCTGGGATGGAGACCAGAGAGTGGACACACTTGATCACAGAGAGAGAGCAGAGTTCTACAAGGGCCTGGATTTGGGGACCTGGCCATAGCAAAAGAGTGAGTCCTGACTCCCAGTAATACCAGAATCATTCCCAGAATCCACAGCAGGTTCCTGGAGGGTGGCCGAGGACACACAAAGAAATCTGCCCAGTGTAGCTGAGCCAGGGAACACTGCAAGGTAGAAGCCTGTGGTCCGGAAGCCAAGGAAGCAGTGGATACACAGAAGGAGAAAGCAAGAAAGCTAGAGTCTGGCCATAGGATGTAGCCACAAGGCTTGCAGCTGCCTGGTGATGAGTAAGTGGCAGGGCCTGGTCTGTCCTGTGGCCAGCAAAGAGCTCTCACCTAGCCGGAGTCGCTCCCGTGGGAATTCCCACTTGCTGGAGTCATAAGGCAGGTACTCGCACTGCTCTTCCAGAGGAACCGCGCCGGGATCCATGATGATAGACAGGTAGCCAGTCTTGATGTCAGCATGGGCAGGCTGCAGGAATCAGCAAAGACAGGGTGTGACCAGGCAGCTCTACACCAATCACAGGGGCCAGTCACTTGCACTGCTCTGGCTCCATCCCACCCCCTGGTGCTGTGATCTGACTCCCTTATCTTCTGGCACCCAAGAGCTGGTTTCATCTGAAGGCTTTGGGGCCCTTTTTCCTCACCCCTTTTTTTTCTGGGCCAGACACCGTTCTCCCTCCTTCCTTCTGGCTTTTGTGAGCCCTCTGCTTGGAAGGGAGCCAGCCCAGAGCACTATTCAGTGCTCAGCCTGTCGGCAGTGCTAGGACAAGGCACACACACAGCAACGGCTTTGAGGATCACCTTCCCAGCCACACCTCCCACCCGCAGAAGCAAGAGCCCTGTCACTTCTCTCTGCTCCTCCCCGGCTCCACGCTGCAGGGGCACAAGCAGGCAACGTACCCTTTTGATGTTGCAGAAGATGAGGATGAGGAGGATCCAGAAGAAGACAGCGATGACCCCGGTCCCAATGAGGATCACGATCTCCACGTTGGTCCGGTCATCGGAGCCTGCAGCAGGGGAAGGGAAATTGCGGAGTCAGAGGGATGCTCATTCACCTCCTGTTCCAACCTGCCGCATCCTCATCATGCACCCCAGAGCGTATTGCTAGGCAGGTTTCAGAGAAGGTGGAACCGTATCTTTCCTCTCGCACGAGGCTGAGCATAGGAGAGCAACAGACACCATTTTGAGAGCTCTGGTCCCTCTCTGGGAGGAGGGCTGCACTGCCCTGAAGTATCCAAACTTGGCTTAGCCACCTTTGGACTCCTCCTCATGGCACCTTCACGCCAGCAAGATGGCGGGGCCTTCCCTCAGCTCTGGCCTTCCCTCAGCCACCTCAGAGTGCACAGAAGCGGGTGGTGGGGGAGGGGCAGCACCTCCTGCTTTGTCTGCACTCCCAGAGTCTGAGGGGACGGTTCCCCTGGCGTGGGATGCTGGCGGTACCTTCCACAGAGACGCTGGCCGAGGAGTTCACGCAGCCCTTGGCGTTGCAGACACTGCACAGGTAGAGCCCAGCATCCTCTTCTCTCACCCTCTGGATGCTCAGCCTCTGGTTCGAATCTGCCAGGTCAATCCCTGAAAGGTACAGAGGCTAATGGTATCAGGGGGAGCTGGCGCGGTCTCTGGAGGAAAGGGACTCTCATGCCGGACAAAGTTAGACTTGAAATAAAGGGCAGCCCTTTTAGCCGTTGGGGGGATTAGCCTAAGCTCCCCACCGCGCATGCTCTCAACCAGCTAATAAGGTTTTAAGCATGGCTTGCCCAGCTGCAGCATCCGGTCTAACAGACCACTAGTTAAAAGATATTAATTATCCAACATGTCACAGAACAGGGCCTCTTTCTCGTCCAGACACGGCCTCCAACTAGGTTACAAAAGTCCCCTCAGGGCCTATCTAAGCAGCCAAGCAACATGCAGGACTCAGAGCACACACTCTCATTGAAGAGAAGGCAGGGAACGCTCCCCTTCCTGGCTCAACTTTAAAGCACCCTTGGAGGTGGGCAGCACCATTTATGAAGCCACCCCATTTGGAAAGTGCGCTCTTTGGCCCTTCTGCACCACAGCTGACCACGTGCCAGCAAAAGTTAGTGTTAAGTGGAGTGGTGTGAAGAAGGATTTTTTTTTGCCATAGAGCTGTGCAGCTAAACCATACCACAGAGTAGCCCCCTTGGCATCCTGCAGCCTGGCTTCATTATATGACTACACTATATTCTCAGACCAAAACCTCCAGGCTGTTCAGGGAAAATAAGCTAGAGGCTGCTAGCAGTGCTGGTATTTAACTGCTCGAGGATATAAAGCTTCAGCGGGGTAGCCAAGTTTATCTGTAACAGGAAAAACTTAAAAAACAATAAATAGTCTGGTAGCACTTTAAAGACTAGCATCTACATATTTTGTTAGTCTTTAAAGTGCTACCAGGCTATTTGTTGTGTTTAGTGGATATAAACTTATCAACATGACATTCTGTTTCCCATGGAGCATGGACAGGTCTCACTCTACTACCCCCAACAAAGCCAATTTCTCCTGCCTTTGACATCAGCATTACCATATCAAAAGCTATGAATGGGACACATCCAGCCCACTTAATTAGCTTCAATAACATGAGCCGTCCAATTGACAGGTACTTCTTTTGCTGTTATATTTATCTCTTGGATATTTATCTCTTTCCACGGCAACTCATCTGATGAATTGGGTCAGATTAACTTTAAACTGCCACGTGTAGTTGCGGGCAGTTCGTTCGAAATAAGGGGGATTTAAAAATGGCGGGCGGACGGGAACATGCAAATAAAGCCCGGGATATTTAAATCCTGGGCTTCATTTGCAACTCTGGTGGCCTGATTTGCCTACCTAGCTCGAATTAACGAGCTAGTGTAGACATACTCTAAGGTGCCACAGGGCAACTCGTTTTTAAAGTTACAGACTACCATGGCTACCTCTTTGAGACTTTTCTACTACACCATGTAATAGTTTAGTAACTCCTATCTGAACAGGCCTCTGGAAAAAGCTTACCAGCAGTGTGTAAGTGTGGCATAAATGCAGCTGCACCTGATCCATACCCTTGCATCTGGCTGGGCAGTGCAGACAGATTGCAGAAGAACTTGGTTAAAAACCATATTCCAGCCCAGCAATCTAGAAGAGGGATCTAGACCAGGGAATGGCAGGGCTATGAATCGGATCTAGTTCGCCTGACTGTCCTTTAAAAGATTCCCTGACCTCATCTCCACCCCTTGGAACCAGCCATACCTGAAACCTCTTCCAGCAGCTTCTCGTCTTTATACCAGCTGATGTCAGGAATGTGAGCACCATCCACCTTGCAGCGCATCTCTATCGAGTCACTGACATTCACCGATATATCCGTTAGGTTCTGCTTCAGTCTGGGGACTTCGAGGGCTAGAGGAGCAGCATCCACACAAAGGGGAGATGAAAGACAAGCAGGAGGCTGTTTGCTCTGAAGACCATCTCAGCCCATACAGTCCAGGGGAAAGAATTCTAAGGGGTTCTAATATACTGCAGCTGGGGAGCGGAGCTGGGGCGGCAGGGCTGACCCTGTTCTGCCCAGCGCTCTAGCTGGGGAGTGGGGCCAAGGCTTATCCTCTGTCCCCATCGTTGCCCACCCTTCCAAAGTTGGGGGCCATCCAAGTGAGCCCTTCTGGCTACATCACTGGTATCTAGCCCCTGCTGCGTGGGGCTGAGACAGGTAGTGCTGGGAGTTCTTGCATAGCTAGCACCTCTTGTTACTCATGCCCTGTTCACCCCATCTCAGTGTGCTCCTTGCCCAGCACCTCGCCCCCTACCCCAGTCACTCTGCCTGCCGGCACATTCCTCACCATGCACAGAGATGTACTTTTTGTGGCAGTGCTTCTCTCTGGTCTTCCGGTTCTGCACCTCACACACGTAGTCTCCCTCCTCCCGCAGCGAGATGTTGGGGATGGTGAGCAGCAGGGCCGTGCCATTGGAGCTGGGTTCAAAGCGTAGCTCCCCTTGCATCTTGGTGGAGTAGCGGTGGACGTTCTTGCAGTCAAGAACTAGTGGGTTGCCTTCTTCGTCGTGCAGCTTCGAGAGGTTCAGTCGGTACCACTGCAGGTTCTCATAGGTGTAGTTATCGGCATTGCAGCTCAGCCTCAGGTCCTGGCCCTCTATGGGCTCCTCTGAGGGCTGAGACTCAATCTGAAATCCATCCGGAATGGCTGCCAGGAAGATAAGGGGAGGAAACAGAGGCGGGAGTGAGATTTTAAAGCGGCATGGTGCATCGCTGCCATACAGGGTGGAATTGTCTCTCTGTGCTTAGTACTCAGAGTCCATTTTGTATATAGACAGGGATAAAAACTCCCACCTTCCTAAAGCACAGTGGAAGCCGGCATGGTGCTGCTAAGAAATCGCTAAGGCTAAGAAGAGTCATAAATGGTGCAGTGAAGGTGCAGTCTCAGATTAAGATTAGGTCACAAATGAAATAAGGTTGCAGAGTCTGAATTTAGCTGTCTGTGGTTGCTTCCCTGGTCCGATATTAAAACACAGGGTTCTAAACTGCTTGTGCACAAATGTGGTTTGTACCCAAGCACTTGCATGTGCAAGCAGGCACTTGTACACACAAGCTAGGCAATTGCACATGCGTGAGGTTACTTAGGATGCAATTACTCAGTTTGCCCATGCAAATCAATATTTACTGGCACAAATATTGGCTGTGAGCGCAGGGTTGTTACCATTTTAAAGATAGCATCAACTATGTGCTGGGCTCTTTGCATACGGGTTCCACTCCCTAAAGCCCACACAACCTTCAATCACAATATCAGTATGAAATCCCGTGCAACTCTCAGTTTCCATATAGCTGGGGCATGGACCTACAATAGCAGGGGGTTCTGCTTGTGAGGACTATATAAAGGAAGTTTGCACAGCAGTTCACTGCATGATTCCTGGCTTTAGCCAACACTGCTAGTCTCCAGCTTTTAAAAACTCAACTACCGTAGATGAAATTAATCTCTCCCCACACCCTTAGAATTCCCCAAGACTCCTTCCAAGTGTGTCTCAGGGTACATCTAGACTACATGCCTCTGTCACCAGAGGCATGTAGATTAGGCTACCAGGCATTGGAAAATGAAGCGGCGATTTAAATAATCGCCGCTTCATTTAAATTTACATGGCTGCCATGCTGAGCCGACAAACAGCTGATCAGCTGTTTGTCGGCTCAGCGACAAATGCCTTTGATGTCGAAACCCGCGTGTCCAGACTACTGCGCTGAGCCGACAAACAGCTGATCAGCTGTTTGACGGCTCAGCGCGACAGCCGTGTAAATTTAAATGAAGCGGCGATTATTTAAATCGCCGCTTCATTTTCCTATGCCTGGTAGCCTAATCTACATGCCTCTGGCGACAGAGGCATGTGGTCTAGACGTACCCACAGACTCCAATGGGAATTGGGAAGAATGAAGTCAACATAAAGAGCACTAGAGGGCGCTGTTGCATCAGACACACCTGAAAGTTTCAGGCTCTGATTTTACCATTATTACAGAATAAAGTTTGCGAACTCTCCACTCCAAAGCAGGCTGGGTAGTAGTGTAAGGAGAGAGGACTCACAATCAGCGATTAGCATAGTACCAGAAGATGCTGACGTGGGCACAGTTTTTTCAGTACTGAATTAAAAAAAAAAGCCTGCAGCCCTGATCAAGAGGGTTTCTCCCCATCTATGGCTGCCTAAAATATAGCAATATTTTACTTTAAACACTAAATTTGCTACTAGGATGTGTGTCTTTGCCAGCTGGAGATTAGCCTTCTTCAGGACTCCTTATGTAGGGTTCCATCTCATGTTAACATGGAAGCTGAAGCTAGTGAAGAATGCAGGGGGCTTCTTAAGATGAATTTCTCATGGTCAGTACATGGCCCCAGTGTTCTGGAATCTGCAATGGCTGACACAGGGTTTCCAGGTGGAGTTTAAGATTTTTGATTTATAAAGGCCTTTGGGACCTGCCCACTGTCCTTTTTGTGAGACACAAGACCGACAGACCTCCCTAGAATCTGGTGGTACTCACTGGTCACATAGAAGTAGATCAGCCGTTCATCTCTACCCACTTTGTTGGAGGCAACACATTTGTACATGACGGAAACATTGGCTTCCTGGATCACCAGTTTGCTGACCGTCTGATAAAGGAAGAGAATGTCAGAATGAATGATGGTGAGAGGAGAGACAGGATCTTCACTGCTCTCAGCCTGACAATGGGACAGGCAGGAAAACACAAACAGCAAAATCCTCCCTCCTTCCCCCCAGAAAACCCTCAAGTGCTGTTCTACTCTGAAAAGGGATTGTGCAAAAATGGATCCTTCCTATTTGCTGTGCCTCTGTTGACTCTTGTGACAACAATTCCTTTTTGCTGCTTTCTACTCCTGTGAGCACTGCACAGCCTACGAGGCTAACAGAGAATGAGCAGAATTCTCTTGTGTATTCAGATACTAAACTCCAAATGGTCATAGAAGAAGCAAGCCCTTGGATGATGGAACAATCAGGTGTACCTGAGCACCCACTGTGGTCTGCCAAAACTTTATTCTGGGTGACAAAGAGTGAGAAGGAAAGAGCTCAGCTTGGTTCCCAGCTGCCAAGTTTAGTTTGTAGGACTTGCAGTTGGGAAGGAAAAAAAATACTTGTAAATTGATCATATCTGAACATGACTTGCCTCAGTATCATTTTACAGCTGCGTCACAGAGCAGAACTGCACTTTGGCCCTCATTCAGGAAAGCAGTAAAGCACATGCTTAAAGTCCTGCAGAAGACAATGGGGCTTGAGGGCATGTTTAGCATGTTTTCCTGAAGAGGGTTCTTTAATAGCAAGAGAAAATAAGGGGCATGACAACATTGTGCATCTCACCATTTGAGAGCCCGTTGTAATTCTTTTCTGCATTCTGCAAATTCCGAGCTTTCATTTAAAATTCGTCTCCCTCTTCCCATTGCCAAGGTACAGCCAATGCAAAGTAAGCAGATGTGCTGCTGTTCTGTTAGTTCAAACTTAGAGTCACAGAGTTTAAGGCCAGAAGGGACCACCAGATCACAGGCTGCTCTCTTCTACATCAGAGGCCATCGACACTGCCTGGTAGCTATACGCTAAACCAGCAATGGGCATCGTAGGCTAGTAAGTGGGCCATGAGTGGTCCTCCTTCCTCTCAGTGGGCCACGAGACTGTTGTAATCACGATGGTCTCCTGAGATAGGCTAGTTTTGCTCACTGCTTTTGTGTATCAAATCGCTAGATCAGAGATGGGCAATCTAGGCTAGTGATTGGACTGCATTAGTGGCCCTCCAGGATGGAGCAGTTTTGCTGACAGTATCTGCATACTTAGAATTTTCAGGGTGCGTCGATTGAACTGTAGCAGTGCTTTGAGGGGATGGAGACGGAGTGCACGGCTCTCACAATCAATGTTGTGTGAAATCAACACCCACCTCCCTTCACATGCCCTCGCTTTACGTGCCTGTCACTTGAGTAATAACTGGTAGGAAAAAAAACTATGCAAGTAGAAACCAGTGAAATCTGGCAACCCTGCTCATGAACAATGGTAAACAAAATATCTCACGGGACACACACAGAACCCCAATGGGCTGCTTGTGGACCTCGGATTGCAGGTTGCCCACCATTGCACTAAGCCCAGCAATTGATATGCGATCCAAATATTACACCCCATGAGAGATTAAATTATTATGCGACACAGGCAGAGAATAGGAGGGACAGAGAAGTGCACCAATGACCCAGCCTCCTGAAAGGGCAGGGAAATGTTTCCAGAAAAACAACCGCATGCAACACCAAAGGTTGGAATTCACTCTTCCTCCACCCTATTCACCTCTCTCAGGTGTGAACTTCAAAGCTGAGTGTTCTAATAGTACTTTCCATTCAATATGCATTTCAATATGAAGCCTGGGCAATTTCTTTTCCCCCATTCTCTATTTGAAAACAAGATAATTAAATGAAAACAACAACAACAACAACAACAAAACCCAAACTATTGGGCAATGTCTGAAATGAAGAGGAAGATGCAAAAATTAAAGTTTTGACAACAAAAATAATTTGTCTACACTATATATCCTGCACATTTTATAATATTAATGTTGTGAGCTAAGTAATAATATACTAAGCTATGCAGTTAACCAAAATAAACAAGCATAGAAAATATTATATGTCTGCAGCGTGACTGAGTTGCCATTGTTGGAACCTATATGTCGCATTTTCTGACATCTCGTGTTTTTTCTGCTGTGCACTCATAATTTTGCATGCATGCAAGGATTTTTGCCTTTCATATACATCTTTCTGCACAGACTGAACCCACCATTGTACATATTGGCCTATTAGACCTATTTTTACACTGTCACCTATGAACTAAAGTTTGACTGGCGGTTCTCAAACTCTGGTCTGGAGAATCCTTCCTGAAGAATGATGAGTGAACTGAGCAGTCAGAGTTAGGAGATTCAGAAGGGAAGTGGGTCCCTCACAACACCTCTCTTTTAGGGGCCAGCATAATGAATTGTCGGAGTCCGTTCTGTGGACACAACTTCCCACTGCAAGTCTCAGAATTCTCTCCTTATAGGGCTTTGGTAACTCCCATGGGGCTTCACTGTCTGACTTAGAACTTTGGAATATTTACTTTTAAAGTTACAGCTAATTAGCGCGGGTGAAGAATGCAAAGGAGAGAGGACAGAAGAAGGGGGAAGAGGAAAGGAGGAGGAGAAGAGCAGAGGAATGAAGAGCCTAGATCAGGGGTGGGGAACCTGATGCCTGGGGGCCAGATGCAGCCCCTGTTTTGCCTGGATCTGGCCCCTGATGCTCAGGGCCTCCCTCAGCACTGGGGAATCTGCGCTGGCACTCCAGCCCCCCCCCACTGCCCCACTGCGGGGCTGGAGCACCCAAAATCTACTAGGCTGGGGCCCGCTAGGCTCTGGTGTGTGAGGGGGAATATGGGAAGTGTCTTTCTCCTTTTGAGGTGACGGCCACATCAGTAAGGGATTTTTTTTCTTTTTTTTTTTTTGCTTCTCACTTATGTACGGTGCCTGACTGATTTTCTGTGGGTCAGTGACCCCTGACCCAAAAAAGGTTCCCTCCCCACCCCTAACCTAGATGGTACAAGAATAGAAGAAAACTGTGCTAAGAAGTTCCAGGTTCCATGACCATCTCCTGGTACACCCATTTGTCACCAGTTCATGCTTCTGCTCCTGGCATGGACACTCAGCCATTAACCCCGATTCAGAACTGCTCTGCACTGATGCATAGGCAGCATCTTCTCGTTCATTGCCCTTTCAGGCGCAGTGGCGCATTCCTGGCTGGGGCCTTGGAACAGGAAGTGACTCTGGAGGTGTGTATGAAAACAGGAAGTGACTTTAGGAAGTTGGGAGCCATTTGTTTGTTCTCGAGCCTGCATCCCCCTGTGTGTGTTTGGTGTTGAACACTCGAGCCTTGGACAGGAAGTTAGTCATGAAGGAGTGCGCAGGCCACTGACACTTATGGCTACGAAGGGGATGGAAAGAAACAGCTCTTGAGTGCTGACCACGCTTTTATAGGGCCACGCATCAGAAAGAGGGAGAGATGACCCATCCAGAGAGGAAATGCACTGCAGGAGCCAATGGCATTCCTTGATAACTCCCAGGGCACTGCCTGTACAAACACATTTTCATTCACAAAGGGCCAGGAGTTTGACATAATCTTTGTTCACTGGCTCTTCCCTCAGCCCACACAAGCACGTGAAATGCACCCCTGACAGCAGGCGTTTTCCTGGGATGTTTAACAGCTTCCCCCTTCAGCCTTGGTCCCCGCTCCCTCTTTCTGGGGTGCTTGTGACTGGCTGATTCCCTCCAGATTAACTGATTAGTTCCTGATTTAATACTGGCATTCTGCTTCTAAGAAGCAATTCCTGAGTGTGGAACAGAAGGGAGGGAAGTTTGAAGCACAGATTGAGATGGGAGAGGGGCTTGTCTCTGGGGCTCAGACTTGAAGCCAGGGGAAAACCCTTCTCTCTCTCATTTGGTTTTGTAGACTCAGTTGGAACTGCATGTCAGGCAGCAGGGAACTACCCCAGGCATTGGACAGGATACTGCCTACCCGTGTCTCTCCTGCCTGGTCTTTGGAAGGGGTGGTAAGTCTATCTGTAAAGCCAACATACCTGGGTCATCAGCAGGGGGAATTGAACCTAGGACCTTAGGGCCTAAAGCCATGTCCCTCTACTGCATGAGTTACTTCAGAGCCAGTTGGCTCTTAAGTGAGGCTGTAGAGCAGACTTCACTCTCCTTTCTCAGAGGTCTCAGTGCCTCTGAGCTCCATATCTCTAGACCCTGCACGGATACAAAATATGTGTCTGCATCTGCATCCATTTCTGCAGCCACATCCGTGGATATAAAGCGGATATCTGCAAATTTGCAGGGTTCTAGATACAAAATTTGTATCCACATCCATAACGGCAAAAAGGAGCCATGGATATAAAGCAGAAATCTGCAGATTTGCAGGGTTCTACATATCTCACAGCTTAGCTCTTGGCAGACAGAGGAATACAGCTTCTCATTCTATAATCATGAGATAACCTGATGCCACTAGAGAGCACCCATTCAAATGAGGTGTGTGGCTAGTCACGGCAGAGAGATTCCACATCACAAGCACGGGCTGTGGGGATACAGAGACAAACCTCACCTTGTTTCTTCCTTCCACAGACTCTGTCCAGGTGTCGATGCTCTCAATGGGGTTCACAGCATCCTGCTGGGACACATCCTTCCAGTCCTCGCACTCAGTCCTTTCGCTCCGGTCCCACTGGTGGCTCCTTGCTGCTCGATGCTTGATGCTGCTTGCCCAGCAGCCATGCAAGAGAAGAGGGGGAGGGGAGCGAGGGTGTTCATTAGAAGGAGACCTAGTGGTAGCACTCCTCTGTAGGATGGGGACTGCCAGCTGGCGTGCAACTTTCATTGGAACCAACAGGATTTCCTGGAATGAGGGAAGCTCTCTCGGCAGCAATATGTCACACATCCATAGGGCGTTGCACCTGGAGGCCCATGAGCTAGGTAAGCAGATGGTTCCTCTATAGATGGAGAAACTGAGGCAGAGGGAAGGGATGTGACTCTTAGGCTACTACCTTCGCCACAAAATCACCCTTCCCCTAACAATGGAGGAAAGGGTGTAACAAGGTAGCTTGTCCCATGGCTGGGGTACCTGGCACTCAACCAATCCCGATTACAGGAACACTCCTACTTGAGTCAACAAATTCCCTCAGAAGGGCGGTAGGTGGGTTAGGTTAGGGATGCCCAGGAAGGAGAGGCCAGAGAACATGTAGCTGGCAAGAAGCAGCATCTGCAAGGAGCAAGACTGTCTCTAGCAGGGGCTTTGAACCATGTCTAGCTCTGGGAAAGAGGACTTGGAGCCACAACAGTCACTGAACTGGGGTTGGGGTCAGGAGGGCCAGTGTATTCTGAGGGTTAGACTCCAGGATGTTTCAATCGCCTTTAAACTGTCTTAAGTTTGTCAAAGGGACCCCATGAAGGAGGCAATGGGTCGGAGGGATGCTCACGTGGCAGTCCACCCTGCTCCGGTGGCAACAAAGGCCAGTCATTTGTGCCGGGCTTAGTGCCTGGATCTGTTAAGAACATAAGAGCATAGAACGGCCACACTAGGTCACACCAAAGGTCCATCTAGCCCAGTGTCCTGTCTGCCGACAGTGGCCAATACCAGGTACCCCAGAGGGAGTGAAAACAGGTAATCATCACGTGACCCCCCCTCCTGCCATCCACCTCCAAATAAACAGAGGCTAAGGACACCACTGTCACCCCTCCTGGCTAATAGCCATTGATGGACTGGCTAATAGCCTCCAAGAATTTATCTAACTCTTTTTTGAACTCTGTTGAAATCCTAGTCTTCACAACATCCTCTGGCAAGGAGTTCCACAGGGTGACTGTGCACTGCGTGAAGAAAAACGTCCTTTTGTTTTAAACCTGCTACCTATTAATTTCATTTGGTGACCCCTAGTTCTAATATTATGGGAACAAGTAAATAACTTTTCCTTATTCGCTTATTCACTTTGTTCTGGTTTGATTTGCTCTGCAGTGAGGCCTAGTTCCATATTCTGTTTCTTCTGAGCCTGATTCAGAGCACTGAGGGTATAAAAGCCACCACGTGGCTTGGGTAACATTAGCAGATGTTCCAGCCCTGTGAGGAGTGCACCTGAGGGCTCTTGCCCTCTGAAACCCAGTCCTGGGGCTGACGGGAAATGTCTCAAACACGGTTGCTAGGGAAACAGTACTGAGAAATTCTCCTTGGCACCAGAGCCCTCCAGGATGATGTGAGGGGTACAGGGAAGGGAGAGTTTGCTCTTTGATCCTCCAGGCACAACCCCAGTCATCACAGGAAACCTAGATACAAACTGCAGCCAAGCCTAATTGCTATGTGTGTTTGAGAAATGCATGTGCACTAGGGCACGTGGCAAGGAGGGGGTGCCCCAGGCGGGTGAGCAATGACTCTGTCTATGCAGGGGACAGTGAGTGCCCCCCAAGGTGTCTGCTGGTAGCACAGGGCAGAGTGCCCTGCAGTGTGTGTGCCCCGGCCCCGGGGGCAATGTCAGGAATCTGTGTAAACAACAGGAAGTCAGGAAGAAGCCTCCTGCATCCTCTGGAGCTGCACGAAGCAGAAACATTGCGGCCTTGGGAGACAGTGCTCGTAATTCATCAGCCCCCCTGCTTCCTGACAGGGCCAGCGAGTGCGCCCATGCTGTTGGAAATACACCGGTTTCCTCACCAGTTACAGGAGAACCTTGGTGGCTTAGGTGTTTGTGTCGGCGCCCCATTTCCTCCACGCTCGGCGACTCCCTCGCGCATGATCTGCTTTCAGTTGGCTCCTTTTTCCATGTGGCTCATCAGATGTATCTCCGCTGTCTATTCCCCTCAAATGCCCTCCTAGTCCCGTTCCACTGGTGGAAACAATGGCAGGCGCCCGGAGGCCAAAAAGGCAGCCAGGGCCACTGGGTGTTGGACTATCATGTCATTGCTCTGAGCAGGGTTAGCTACCACAGGGGTAAAAAAATACTAGGGCCCGTCTACATTCGTGCACCCACTTCTGCTCTCACTAGCACTCTGGGAAACGGTGCAAAAGAAAGTCTAATGTAGACAGGGCTCTACTCTGGCCAGATGGGTCAATGCCACAGAGGAGGCATTTTTATGCCATGCCACTTGAGCACGCTGCTTCTGTTGGGTTCCCAGCCCCTACCGCTCCAGTATCAGAGTCCTTACATCTCAGGCTGCTTCAGGAAGAGTACCTGTCCCACATGTAGTTACCCACTCTACAGTGCTGGCCATTCGCACCCAATAGCCATGGTACATTTTTCTAACCAACTTTCTCTGGTCTTCTCCTCCCAGATTTCCAGGCAGTGGTGAGTTCTTCTGGGGAGAGCTGGCAAGTAGAGAAGGGAGACAGAGCCTCAGAGACATCTCTTTCTACCTACCCCCTCTGTGCCAGCTAAGAAAACTCAACCACTGAAAAGTCACAGAGATTTGTTATATATAAATATATGCCACCCTAATGGTGCAAGTCACCAAACAGGAAAAATAATCATTAAGATAAAGTGCTTGTTCTGCACACCAGGAATGTGTCTACACTGCACCCATAGCTTGAAATAAGCTATGCAATTTGAGCTATGCAAATTGAGTAGCTTATTTCGAGTTAATTTTAAAATAGCTTATTTCGAAATTTGGCACTGTCTACCCAGCACTTATTTAGAAATAAATCACTATTCCGAAATGTCCCTTACTCCTCGTGGAATGTTATTTCAAAATAAGAGGCTTGCCATGAAAATGCAGGCTAGCTATTTTGAGATACCTCCGGTAAATAGCGCTGCAGCAGAGACGTAGCCCAGATGGTCCATTGAAGGCAAGAGAGGCATTGTGTAGCAAAGGACAGGGTCCTTGTTGATTGCATTCCTAACTCTCTCCAGGAAGGGGAAACCTGCACCTGAATTCATCCCATCAGCCTGGGATCTGGGATGAAGAGAATCACAAATCCCTAACAAGGAGAAACATGAGTTTTTTCAAAAAAAGTGGCCTTTTTTCGAAAAAACGTCACCTGCATCTAGACTGCCGTCGTGTCCTTTCAAAATTAAATTGAAAGAACGCGGTGTTTTTTTCAAAATCGGTAAACCTACTTTTACCAGGAAGAACGCCTTTTTTCGAAAGAGCTCTTTCATAAAAAGGTATTCTTGACCACAAACAGGGCTTTTTCGAAAGAGAGCGTCCAAATTGCCTGGGTGCTCTCTTTCGAAAAAGTGAGCCACTTTTTCGAAACCTTTGTAGCTGTCTAGACGATCTCTTTCGAAAGAGGCTTGTAGTCTAGACATACCCGTTATGCTGTCCGGGCTCTGAGAGTCAAAGATACCTAAACAGGATATCTCCTTGCTTTTTGGCCTGGGTCAGTCCAAAAGGGCACATAGAACTGCTTAATATGGATGCTTAGATTACTTTGATAAATCTAAGATTTGTGTGTGTGTGTGTGTGTTTCCTGTTTGAACCTTGTAAATAACTTGCTTATTTATTTTGTTAGTTAATAAATCTTTAGTTGGTTTATTACAGGATTGGCGATAGGCATTGTCTTTGGTTTGAAATCTGAGTATAAATGATCTGAGGCAAATGACTGGTCTTTTGGGACTGAGAGTAACCTGAATATTATTGTGATTTTTGGTGTAAAATGACCACCCATCACATAGTTCCACTCACACTGGTGGCAAAATAGCCTGGAATGCCCAACGGGACTGTCTTTGACTCTGTGGTAAGACTGTTACGGTGTTCTAGGAGTTCACACTTGATATTAGGTTGGTGAAATCTAATTATAGAACATAGAACTGCGTTGAGGTTTCTGCCCTGCTTTTTGACAGTCTGCCACCAGGATGACACAAGTACTCGTGAACTACGGCAGACAGGTTGGCAGGATTCTTAGTGTTTGATCTTGGCAGGTACCAATGACTGTCCCAGCCTTGGGAAAAATACGGCATTTAGCTTCTCTGAGGCTGCATAGACACCTCCGATGGTTATCACTGACTGGGCAGGACTGTGGGCAGATGTGACAGGGCAGACCAAGCCCTGAGCCCAGAGAAGGGCTATAAAGAAGTCCTCCTGGCAGGCTAGAGTGGCTGTGGAGGTACCAGACAATCAGGGGCCAGGAAGGCCTACAAAAGGAGCTGCATAGCAAAGACTGGAGTGGCTGGCTGGCTGAAGGAGTGGCAGTGCCAAAGACAGCTCCAAGTGGGGAGCTGCTTAGAGCTCTCTCACCAGGAGAAGCAGCCTGGAGGCACCACTCTCTATCTGAGTGGAGAAAAAGGCTGAGGGAATCAACTGAGAGACACTCTCCAGAGGGCTCTGGGTTGCGCCCCTGCTAAAGCGGCTTGTGATTGCACAAAGAGTGTGACTCGGTCTGGAGTAGCTGCAATGCTTTTAACACAGACAGAGTGCAGTAGCCCACACTCGGCCAAATGGGGACACTTGTGTGAGGTGAGTGCTGACCCCGTTACCAGCGGTGGATATAAGGCAGGGCGAGCGGGGCGGCTAGAGTGTGGCGCTATTTTGGGATACGTCCGGTATCCCGAAATAGCGTTTTTCGTGTCTTTACAGCACACCCGTTACTTCGAAATGCAATCAAAATAACGGGTTCGCTAGTCCAACGTCCCGGTAAACCTTGTTCCGTGAGGATTAAGGGACTTGCCGGAATAGACTCTCTTGAAATAAGCTATGCAATTTGCATAGCTTCAATTGCATAGCTTATTTTGAACTAGCTAGCGTGCCACAGTGTAGATGCACCCTGGATTGTTCTGCAGAACCAGGAGAAGAAGAGTGCAGGCACAGACTAATAGACACGGCTAGCAAAAATCTTCCTGTCTCAAGAACACGGGAGTGCATTGTGTACCTCACAATGGAAGACGCACTGAGATCAGTACTCCAAAAGGAATAATGAAATTCTCCAGCTCCACCTAACAAAATGAATTAAATACACCCAGCACTGCAGCATCAGACTCGCTAGGTGTGGGAAGGACGTAGGTCAACCTAAGCAACAGGTGTGTCAGAGATTTTCCTTAGTCAGAGCCCCCCTCTTCCTTCCCTTCCAGTAGCCAAAATAAGGATTTGCAGTAAGGATTTAGAGACACTTTGGGCTGCACTTCCTAACTCTTGTAGAGACAGCAGCTCTCTGATTCCTCTTTAGAATGTTTCTTCTCCTAGTTTAGAAGTCAACCACTTAGATACCAAAGTGAAATACCACAGACTTCTGACTCTGACCTTTCTAATAGGAGACATGCAGGAAGCCACATCTGGTTCTAGATCCTGCATAAGTCATTGGTCATCAATGCTCATCACCTTGTAAGATGCTGAGTTGGTGTTTGTAGGAATTAAGCAAAAGAAAGTCCTTTGGTTTCCTGGTACTTTATATTTTGCTGGCTGACTGCAGAAGCAGCATGGTCTAGTGGACTTATAGTGTGGCCTTAAGTGAGTCATTTGGACTCCATGACTCAGTTACCCTATCTGTAAAATGGGGTAATTATACTCACCTGCCTGACAGAGATAATGTGAGGCTCCGTTAAGATCTGTAAAGTGGTAGGTGCTATTACTGCAAGTGTCTTGAAGTGTTGACAGGTTCATCCCTTCACTGGAGGCATTGGAAGTAGCCCCAGAAGGAGCCAGGAGAAAGTTGCTTAGGCTCTGTGTTAGAGGTTAGGTACGTGACATATCAGGAAGCTCCAAAAGTCTGTTTCTGGTGGCTCAGCATCTCCTCCTCCATACTCCATGTGAATTACCAGGCTGAGGCAGCTCCATATCCATTAGCAATTGCTGTTTTCGCTCCAGCATGTCAGAGGCCAATCCTGGACTGGAACTTTGTGCCCAGCAGATGGTGAAACTCAGGCCCAGGAAGGTGAAGACACACAGCCCGAGTCACCAAGTGACTTTGTGGTGAGTAGAACCCAGGAGGCCTGACTCCCTATGTTAACTGCTAGACAACACTGCCTTCCCCCTACCAATGAAACATGCCCAACAAGTGCTGCTCAGCACTTCAGCCAAAGGGACGTCGCTTTGTTTCGAGTGCTACTGGCTCCGTGTATATGTATATCCCTTTCACTGGGACCTCTGCACCTCGCTGGGAAGCCAGGGCTAATACAGTGAGGAAGAGCACTTACAGGCTACGTCGGGAGACCTTCGGGCAAGGCCCCCACGGCCTCCACTGCCACTGGATTACTTCGGGAGCCGGGATGCCGTAGACCGTACAGGTGAGCGCCTGGTGGCTCCTACGGGAATAGATGCCCCGGGAAGAGGCTTCCTTCTCGTGGATGTGCGGAGGAACTGAAATCAGCAGAATGACAATTTTTGTAATCTGGCATCAACCCCACAGTCCCTTATGCTGAGTGGCCATGCAGAGAGCATCCTCTCTGTTCTGGTCTATAAAAAGACTGGTCACCAGGACATGCTGGCTTGCAGGGCAGCCGGGTCTAGACACAGTGACCTGCTGGTAGCCTCCAGGGGCTGCGATGAATTAAGTATCGTTAATCTCTGGAGCAGCTAGGCCCAATTTAGAGCTACTTTACAAGCAGGAGTAAGTTACACTTAGTTATATTTAAAGCAAATTCCTCCTCTACAGGACTGCACTGATGTGACCGTCTGATTACTGCATGTATCAGAGTGGGTCCTAGCAGTTCTGCACCCCAGTTCATTCCTGCCAGAACCTCTTGAGCCTCCCTTTCTCAGTTACAGTGGATGCCAAAAATACTTTATTTGGGGTTAGACCATTCCCTCCTCTCACATCCCAGAATTCCATGCTGCTGTGTTGTTTCCATATTGCAGGGCTGCATGAGAGATCAGATTCATCCCTGTTGTAACTCCACCGAGATCAATGGCATTGCATCAGGGGTGAATCTGGCACAAAGTATGGATCCAAGGCCCAGGTATCATGTTTCTATTCTGCCCTGACACAAAATCCTAGTCAGAATCAGTGTCACTTGCCATTCTCCATTAGCCTTTCCTACAGGCATTTTTCTGCACCACATCAGGGAGACAGCTGCAAGGCCCAGCACACTATCACCAGAAGTGCATGAAGACAAGGACTGTTCATGGAAAAGGGGTTGTCTTCATTTTCTGTATTTCCCCATGGTCAATGTCAGAGAAATCTCTGATGATGAGAGTACTTAGCTCTTACCTAGCACTTCTCACGGGTAGCTCTCAGAGCACTTTAAAAAGTGAATCAGCATTTTAAAGATGGGGAAACTGAGTCAGAGATGGGAAGTGACTTGCCTAAGCTCACCCAGCAGTGGCAGAGATGCAAATAGGTCTCCTGAGTTCCACCCCAGTGCCCTGTTCACTAGGCCATGCTGAAAAGGCCACAGGTCATTATCTAGCTATGACTGGTGGAATGGAGATGGTGGGAAGGGATAAACTTTGACAGCGGCAGAATAGTGACATCTCATGGGGACATCCAATGGGCTCATGAACTGAGAGGAGTTACAGCACAAATGAGTTTGCCCCACTGGATCTAAGAGCACCAAGGTCTCTTGGCCTCAGTTTCTGCTTTCTCCATCCTTACCATTGACTATTAATTGGAGGTTGATGTGCTCCTCCAGCTCAGCTAGCTTGTTCCACAGAACTAAGGTGTACGTCCCGGAGTTCTGTTCTGACACGTCTTTGATCTGCAGCGAATAGGGAGCCTGCCTGTTGGGAATTAACTTGCCGTCCTTGTACCTGTGAGCAAATAGAGAGCAAATGCAGAGAGGTCCAGTCCTGTTGAAATACAGTCAGAGGCCTGCAGACACTAATGCTGGGAGCCATCGGGCAGTAAAATGTGCTCAGAGGGCTTAAGTCACTAGTGCTGGGAGCCCTTCCAGAGGGACTTTACCAGGTTTCCCAAGAAAACGTGTTCGGGAGCAGCTTGCTGTTTCAGAGGTAAAAATTCTCCAGGTCAGGATGCCCGGGCCTGATTCTTCACTGCCTTGCACCACTACACACGTGTGCAAAGCGGGTGTGAAATGCAACCAGTGGAGTGAAGAATTCGGATTGTTCCCGTTTTACAGTCGCTTGTCACTGGTGCAACTGGGGACACAGAGAATCAGGAACTTGGCCTTTCTGTTCCAGGCCACAGCAGTGACCCCTATCTGGCTGGTCAGGAGAGGAGCAGGAAGCTCCCAGGGGAGTTCACTTTGGCTCCTGTGCTCAGCCCAGACCTGAATCTTTGATGCCTAAGTGCCAGGTTTCAGGGCCTCCCCTCCTGTCCCCTCTCCCATCACCCTGCTTCCAATGCCAGGAAGGGCTCTGCTCTGTTGGAGTGAGGGCAGGCGAGCAGGGAGGGCTGGATAGGCCGGTGGGTGTGGGTGCAATGGGAGGCTGGAGAAAGCGAATGATGAGAGAGCAGAATGTGGCCCAAACCAGAAAACTGAATGTGAGGACCAATTAGGCAGGTTTTCTTCCTTGGCTGGCTGCCAGCTGCCTGGGAAAGAGCTAAGGGAGACCTTTTCCGTCAACAGACACTGCTGCAATCCTCAGGCCAAGCTTGTTAGCCAGCCCCTTCTGCTGCAGAGGGGCCTGGGGATATCTCCCCTCCCGAAAGGGATTTCTGCAAGACCCTCATTAATCACCCTTCCCCTCTCCCCGCCTCCCTATTCCCTCCACTGTGAAGGATGAGTAGGAAGGCTGGGGAGCACAGACTAAGAAAGGTGGGTTACCACTGGAACTCTGGCGGGGGGTAGGCGACGACTTTCACCGGCAGCTTCACGACTGCGTCTCCTGCCGTGGCTTCTATCACGGGGCCTTTCCTCCACTCTACGTTGATGAAGGGCTTCTCTGTAAAAGCAGGACCATGCCGACAGGGGACAAGCCACAGAGAACAGGAGGGAAAGCAGAAAGAGACATATCAAGCTGCGTGGCCACAGGCCCTGCGGCACAAGAAAGGGGCTGCATTTTTGGGGACATTCCTAGTACCCAGCTCTTCTCTGGCATGTTTCACCAGCAGATCTCAAAGCACGTTACAAAGAGTCACAGAGAGGTGACGTGACCTGCTACGGGGTACCAGCAGTCTAATAGAAAACCAGGAATAGAACCCCGGTCTTCACTCTAATACTTGATCCACTCAACTACCCTCCCTTTCCAATAAAGTGATGTGACCGTGTGCATCCAGGCAGGTTTGTACAAGTGCATGTTGGTTTGTGGCCGCACATATGCACCTCTGTGGTGTGCACTTGCATGGGGGTGAGCACATCCCCACGAGCTGATCGGCACTGTGTGGTGACGTGCAGGCGCGTATGAGTGCTTGCTATTTATTCCTTCAGGACCTCTCTACTTCACTGAGGCTACATCTACAGTACACTGCAATCTTTATTGGCAAAGACAATGCAAATGAAGCACTCATTAGCATATCTTGCGCTCTCATTTGCATAGTTTCATCCGATCTCTTTTGTGGAAGAGGTTTTGGCGCAAAAAAACGACAGCGTAGATGGGGCCATTTTGTGAAAAAATATCCCTTTTGCACAAGAACACTTATTCCTCAAAAAAGCAGGTATACAGGATCTTGCACAAAAGGGTTTTTTGCCCTGTCTACACTGCGTTTTTTTGTGCAAAACCTCGTGCTCAGTCCATAACTCAGCCGGTACTCAGCTGCAGGGATCCTCTGACCTTAGATGTGACAGACAGTGCTTCAAAAATAGCTCTCCTGTGTGCTAGCGAAGAAAAAGCCGCCTAATCATTTTTAGATTTCCCTTCTCCTTTGCCGTCTGCTTTCAGTGTCTATCCCAGCTGTGCCCCGCCCCTGCTGTCCTGACAAAGGAGAGGTCCATTGTACCGTGCACAATGACATCGGTGCTCTCCTCGAACGTCTGCTCCCCATTGCTGGCCACACACAGGTATTTCCCCAGGTCCTGCTGGCTCACATTTTGGATGATCAGGATACTGGAGAGCTCAGTGTGGGTCTGCTGGGAGCGCCTCTCGGGCAGCTCAGTGACAGCCCGGTGCATCTGCCAAGAGAAGGGAGTGGAAGGAAGGGGGTTAAAAGGAGACAGACACAATTTGGATGGGTTACACGTGAGGTTCCTCACTGCCAGAGATATTCAGTGTTCCTCAGTTTCTTCTCCCTAAGTCATTGAGGGAGTGCCAGGAACCACTTCAGCCCTTTGAGCCATGATAGGCCTGGCAAAGTGACCTGGGGATGTCACGATGGGCCTAGAAATACACATCAGAGTCTTATAACAGGTCCTTTGTTATCACAGGCCCCTCTCCAATCTGCGGTCCAGTCGCCTAGAGCGTAATCATCCTGCAGCTCCTCCTCCTCACAGTAATGTCTTGAAGCCCACAAGATGTTATCCCCCTTGAATAACATCAGCAGAGAGAAATCTGGTTTGTTCTCCCTGCTCCTCTGCATTTAAAGTGACCACAAGCAAGTAGTGGGCTGCCGAAATCGGTAAGCATCTCAACAGATAAGTGGGTCTCACATTCCCTGTCCTCCTGCCTCCCATATTTAACCTCTGTGAAAATAATCAACTGGAGGTTGATCAACGAAGCTAATTGAATCGGCCTGTTAAAGCAAAAACTCAAAGGCAGAGCTGTCCTTACCCATACGCAGAATACGCAGCTGCATAGGTCACCTGAAAATTTGGGGCATCCCTGGGTCTTAATGCCCACCCATCCGCCTCTTCCTATCCCTGTTCTGTGGCTTTGCCTTCTCCGTAGGGGAGCTAGTTCACTTAATAGTGACAACGCCTGCCAAAGCTATTCGCAGAACACAGAACCTGTGAAAGAGTCATGTGAGTGGTAATGAAGCCATTTAACAGGCATTTGCCAACCCCAGGTGTATCCTGTCAGTTTCTGAATGTACTGTGTTAGTCCACAGGGCCTTAGTTTAAAATTTGCTTTAAAATATTTCATTAGTGTATGCTGAAGATTATAAAATCTAAAAGAGTCACACCCCCCTCCACTCTGCCATTGGGCATAGGAGCACTGGTTTAATAGTTCTGCGTAGGGTCCCATAAATCTAAAAGACAGCTCTGCTCACGGAGAATACAGTGCAGGGCCTTTCAAAAGAACACCTGCCAAACAAATCAGTCTCCACAATGAAGGAAAATACACTTGATCAAAGGCTGGATTTTGCTCTCAGTTACAGCACTATAAACCTGCTGTCACTCTGTAGAAGTCAGTGATGTGTCTCCGGCTTTGCCCCGGGGAAAGGAGAGGGTCGTTTGATCTGACACTTGCTCACACAATAAACGGGGTTTATTCTTTTGGGGGGAAGGCGAGAAGAAGCAAAGGCTCTTGCTGCTGAACGATGGCAAAATGGGAAAGTTGATGGACAACAACTTAGTCCCACCTTCCCAGTGGGACACCCTGCCTCAGCCACTGACGTGACAGCACCATTGGGAGCTAACGCTTGCTGTCAGCGGTGAAGGAGTTCGCTGATGGGCAAGCCCTTTCCCCACTCACAAACCAAAAGAACGGGAAGAGCGCTAAGCCTGGGGACCCTGCCTCCTGCTTATCAGCCACTGATTTCTTTCACCCTGCGCAGAAAGATTTGTCTAGGCAGAGTCAGGGCGGAGCAGACATGCGCTAACAACAGCCACACTGATTGTTCCCTAAGGAATGAGGGTTGGCTGGGGAGCAGCGGAGGGACAGGGAAAAGTTATGTGTACCTGTTTTCCAGGATAATCCCATTGGAAATTTACTCCAGAGTTAAACTCGGCCCACACCGTGCAGTTGAGGACCAGCTTTTCTCCCATTAGTAGCTCCATGGCATTCTTAGGAAACAGCTGGATGTCATACAGTTCATTCCCTGATATAAAGAAGACCAAAAAAAAAAAACCTCTGTAAACTAAAGAAATGCTGTTAGCTCTTTGACACTGGGATCTGGATCTCTCAGTACAATGGGCATTGGCTCCCTGGGGTTTGCAATTCAGCCAAACTCATCATCCCACCGTCTCCCTGCCCTGGGTTTCGCTTCTTTCTTCCAGTGATTCCCAAACTTTTTGGCTTCACGCCCTCTTTTTTATTTTTTGAGAAACCCCTCACCATGTCAGCAAAACTTGAGCAGAGCAAAAAAGAAAAAAGGAACTGACTGGGGCTGAAAGACAAAAAGAGCAGCAAAATTTAGGGGGGGGGGAGGGGATTGACAGTGGGAGGCTGGCTCGCCTCGCGCCGCCCCTGGAATTTCTTCATGCACCCTCAGGGAGCCCATGTTCTAGGGACATCTGCTCCTGAAACGGGCAGTGATGGGTGAAGCCGCAACAGCAAAAGGAAGGACAAAACGGCTTTTCTCCATGACCAGCACTGCCTGGTCACTGACTGTGTAAGGGGATTGGTGCACATGACAGCATATTATATCCCAGCATGGCGTGCTGCATGTGTAACCCACACACTCACTGTGGTTCACTGTCCCATGGAGTGACACTTAGACCACTTACAGCGGGAGATAAGAACAAGGGAGCTCTACAGCCTAAGCTGAGCACCAGCTGGCTTTATAGCTATAGTACAGAAAGCTCCAGAGGTCTCAGACTTGACTACTACAAATAGTAGTACAGGCTACTGGGCATGGCAAGTGCCACCATGCTGTCAAGACTCACCTCTAGAACACAGTATTTGGGACCCGTGGCACCATTAAAACTGCCACATTTTCACCTAACTGAATCTCTTAGGGCTGCATTTTGATACCCTTCAATTGAATAATACCTTGCTCCATGATTAGTCCCACTGAATCCAGTGAGGCAGCTTAAGGAGTAAAGTGCCATTCAATGTGAGTAAAGGTATCAGGATCTGGCCCATTGAGTGGTCCTAAATTAGAAAAGGAGCCATTTAGATTGCATGAGGGATTCCTCACCTTTCTAAGCTTCAGCGATTCCATGCTGGGTGGTGAATTTTGGGCCACCACCAAAAATTAATAACAATGAAATGTTCCCAAATGGACTCTGAAATCCCTCCCCCTCCCCGCCCACAAATGAAAATGAATGGGAAAGTTCACCTTTGCAGCCTCCCCAGCATATCCAGTCATTTCTCTCTCCAAGTTACTGAGAGGAGAAACCTTGTTTTCTTTTTTCCACTGGGAGCTGAAATTCCAGGGTGACCTGCTGCCCTGTTCCAGCCTCACCTGTGATGTGCACAATGAAGAAATTGGACTTGAAGGGCTTCTTGTCAATGACGGTTTCACACTGAACAAGCAAGGAGTCCCGGATCAAGTGAGTGGGGACCAGCATCCCCTTCTTGTTGTCCCAGAGAACCGTTCTCCCATCTGGGTAGATAACGGGGGTGGGCTGCAAAAAGCAACATCTTGCAAACTGTCTGCAGAAGTACTTGGTGGCACCATCCCCTAACCAACCCCTAGTTCTTCCAAGACTAACACATTCCATTCTTGTGTAGGGGGGGGCAGAAGAATTGCAGTGTCACGCCACACTGGACTCCTGCTTCTCATCTCCCCAAATCTTTGTCCTAATGGAATCCCGGCATCCTCTACAGCCTGAGAAGTCACCGTAAAAGACTCAGTATCCATGTGGATAAGCTCACAGTCTGTGAAATGAGACTGGAAGTTCCAGGAATGGAAACTGATAGTGATAACTAGGGAAATTGCTGATGATGTCCCACACGTAAACCCCAATGGGATGAAGGCTGACCTCATGTGGGGTCCTCCCAGCCCCAAAGAGTCCCAGGAGGACTCTGCACAATAGTAACACTCATCCTGGAAGGATGTATTAGCACTGTAAAAAAGTCACAAAGCAAGCTGATGACAGAGTTGTTTTTAGTCAGCAATCCCCATAAGTCCATGCACTTGTCCCTTGGGAACCAGGGCCACCAAGGGTATTTGAAGACCAAGGAGCTAAAGGTAGCAGAGGCAACTGTGAAAAGGCTGCCTGAGGAAATGCAACAAAACAAAGATTTTGCAACTTCAGTGAAGAGGGAGTAAAGCCAGCTGGAACCCCCTCCCCCCAAGCCATGCAGCAGGGAATGCCCAAGGCAGCTGGTCAGCATGGTTTGGGCCAACACATAAAATGGGGAAGCTGTCAGCTTGCATTTTCCATGGAAATCCCACCCTGTGCATTTCCCAGCTCCTGCAGAATCTAGTCTGCTCCTTCTCAGCCAATGAAAATGCATAATAAAGAAGACACTGTCTGTAGAGGAGGCTCATAGCATCATAGATTCTTAGGGTTGGAAGAGACCTCAGGAGGTCATTGAGTCCAACCCCCTGTTAAAAAACAGGACCAACCAACTAAATCAACCCAGCCAGGGCTTTGCCAAGCCAGGACTGAAAAACCTCTGGGATACAGATTTCATCCCCTCCTTAGGTAGCCCAATCCAGTGCTTCACCGTCTTACTAGTAAAGTAGTTATCCTAATGTCCAGCCTACAGCTCCCCCACTGCAACTTGAGACCATTGCTCCTTGTTCTGCCATCTGTCACTACTGAGAACAGCCTCTCTCCATCCTCTTTGGAACCTCCCTTCAGGTAGTTGCAGGCTGCTATCAAATCCCCCCTCACTCATCTCTTCTGCAGACTGAACAAACCCAAATCCCTCAGCCTCTCCTCATAAGTCATGCATGCCAGCCCCCTCATAATTTTCATTGCCCTCCGCTGGACTTTCTCCAGTGCGTCCACAACCTTTTGGTAATGGGGGCCCCAGAATTGGATACTATGTTCCAGATGTGGCCTCACCAGTGCAGAATAAAGGGGAATAATCACTTCCCTAGATCTGCTGGCAATACTCCTACTAATATACCCCAAAATGCCGGTAGCTTTCTTGGCTACAAGGGCACCCTGTTGGCTCATATCCAGCTCCTCATCCACTGTCACCCCCAGATCCTTTTCTCATCCAAGTGGGTCTCTTACCAAGGCCAGGGTGATGTTCAGATCTGGGATGGACACCAAGCAGGGCACCCAGGTGTTCTCTTTCTTATTGATGAGGAGTGTTTCAGGTTTGTTGATAAATGGCTGCTCAAAATCTAAGAAAGAGACATGAAGAGAAGAAAGAATACACAGAAGCAGGGGAAGAACGGAAGAGGGAGAAACAAGAAAAAGGTGAATTTCAGGTATTCGTCAACTCAGCCAAAGCTTGCAGGTGGCCGTGCTGCTGAGTCAAGACACCCTGACTATTCAAGGGCTGAAAAGTTTCAAAGGCTGCTTGTAACCGAAACCCTGTTGACTTGCCACTGAGCAGCCTCTCAGCATCCAGCAGTCACCCAGTGAGGCTTGGGTCGGGGCTGTGGCAGCCTGGCCACCAGGGAAGGCTGGGGCTGCAGCAGCCAGATGCTTAAGAAGACGGGGGCCACGGCACAGCAGCCCTGGCCCTCCAGGTGGTTAGGAAGGATTGGGTAGGGGTTGGGCAGGCTTGGCTTCATCGGGAGGGAGGTTGCAAAAGGGGTGGGATCTCTGGCAGAATGTGTGGGGTTTGGGGCTTGCCTTCCCTGGCTGGGCCTTCACCTGCTGCCCATGTTAACACTCCTGCCCCTCACCCCCCTACAGGTCTCTCTTTCTGGGCCCTCCGTTCAAATCCACCTCAATGGACTTTGTGAAACAGGCTCTTCCTTTCAGTTCAGTTCCTGGCTGGATCTTCCCCCTAATGCCAAAATGGCTCTGTGTCCATGGGCAGAGCTAGTCAGGATGTGCTGGCCTGGAGTAAAAGGCCTTCCAGCCAGAGGAGGAGGTGATTTGCAGCCCAATGGCATGCAGATGTCATCCTGTGGAGATCCCTCCCGGTAGAGAAACAAACGAGCGGAGATTTCCAGGGCTTCCACCCAACTGCCTCTCCACTTTCACAGGCACAAACAGTGACAGGAAGAGCAAAAACACCAAGCACAGAGAATTCATGTTTGAAGCTGTTTACTAGATGCAGCAGCTAGCGAGGGCCTCTACAGGCACATCCAACAAACAAGCGACCCCCAGGAGGGGCTGCTCTCCTTGTTCTGCTCATTTTGGGAGAAGGTCCAAAATGTCAGGGACACAACTAAGGTTCCCTCTAAGCCGCACAGCAGCACAGCCCTGCAGCTGTTTAATTAGTTCTGCCCAGGCAGGGGTTCAGAGCTCCATGCCTGGAGCTGTCTGACGGGGCCGAGCTGATTAAGCAGCTGCAGGGCTGTGCTGCCACTCAGCTTAGAGGGAACCGTGGTCACAACTAACCAATTGCACATAAGGAGCTTCCAGTGACTTGTGTGTGTGTGTGTGGGGGGGGGGGGGGGGCCATTTTTTACACACCATA